TTCCCGGCCTGCAGGCTTCCAGAACAGGGTGCCATAGGGCACACGGGCCCTTGGGCGTGTCTGTCCCGGGTACCTGCTGGCTCTCGCACACTCCCTTGGGGAGCAAAGGTGCAGTGAGGTGACAGGCCAGCTCCCGCTCCCCGGCCCCTGCCGTGTGGCCCCATGTCCTGGAGGCGTGGGCGGCTCCGTGCAGGCCTGGGGAACACATCCCCCAAAAGGCATGCTTTGACTTTTCTCAGGCGGGTCCCTCCCGACCCAGCTCTGGCGCCCCCGTGGGCTTCCCAGCGGCCGTGTGTCTGTTGCAGGCTTTGCGGTCGGGCCTCTGGGTCTTGGGGTCGTTCTGATGGTAGGATGAGCGCACGTGGGCCCAGTGGCCACCCCCGTAGTGGTCTCTTTTGCTCGGACCTTACTGTTCTGCCATGATTTCGAGGGCCTGTGGCGCTGACCCCGTGCAGGGCTTGTTGACGGGCCCTCTCGAGGCGGGGGCAGCCGCTTCTTTCTGGGCCTCAGACTTAGGCTCTGGCCTTGTCCTTCACATGTGGCCTTGGCCTCGGGAGGGCCCTGGTGGAGCGCACGTGTGTCCGTGCCCACCGCGGGCCGCGTCCCTTGTCTTGCTCGCAGAAAGCAGCAGCCGCATAGGGAACTGAGACAGCGGAGAGAAGACAAAAGCCCCAGAAGCGGCAGCCCTAGACCTGGTCACAGCCGCCCCGTCTGTGAATCCAGGCACCCCGGATGAGGGCGAGGGTGGGGGGAGAGGAGGGGGGTTTCGTGGCCCCTTAGCCGTGCTCGGGACTCGTCCCGCGCTTGCTGTGTGTCCGCAGCGAGCGGTGCTGGTCTGTAGCAGGCGCGCTTGGCGCCCTCACCCGCTCACAGCCCCACCGGCCGCCCGGTCCCAGGAACAGGGCACTGCGGGGCTCTTGGTGAGTATTTCCCAAGTAGACTTCTGAGGGGCTGCCCCCCAAGCCTTTCCCACCAGGGGGGCGCGCCACAGGCGGCGTTGCAGGGAGCCCTTGGGAAACCAGCCGCGCATGTCCTCATCTCAGACGGGGCGGTCCAGGGCAGCGCTGTTCTGGCGCGCCGCCGAGGGACACAGCCAGGCCTGTGGCCCAGGGGCCCCTCCCCTGCCTGCTCGGAGCGGGCTCACCTTTGGGAGGAAGGCCCCAGGCTGCTGTGCCTGTGGCCGAGGAGTGGCCCTGGAGGCCTCTGGGTAGGCAGAGGCGAGGCAGACGCAGCGGGCTGGGCCGGTCAGGGAATTGCATCCCCCTTCTCCGCCTCGCCCTTGGTGGCTGGTGACCTTCTTCATGACGCCTGGCCTGGATGTGGAGCGGGGGGCCAGGCTCCCCTCGGCTTCTGGGACCCTGCTTGCTGCCTGCCAGTGCTCCTGACGCTGGGAGGGGCCAGCTGGGACCCCACATCTGATGTAGAGGCCCCACCTTCGCGCTGGGGGGCTATGCCGCCTGGCTTGGCATCGTGGGCACGGGTGGTACATACGGACTCCCTGGCCTTGACGCCACTGGCTTGTGGCCACCTGCTCCGTCCAGGAAGGGGCCCTGCGTGGGGTCCAGGCCTGCCACCATGTGTTCTCCGCTGACTCCCTGACAGACCTGGAAACGGCTGTCAGTGTCGGGCGGCCTCCTTAGGCCCTGCGGCGCCGCGGGCACTGCCTAGCCGGGGCCTGAGGCCTGCGTGGGGGTGCAGGTGTGCACCTTGGGGACTTGAACCTCAGCGCCATGAGACGCGCCTCTGGACTTACTGCTTGGAAGGAGCAGGGCGAGACCGCCTGGCTGCCCCTCATGGTGCGCCCCATCGGGGACACCGGCGCTTGGCACGGGCTGTTCTCGCGACCCCGCCTCTCGCAGCCTCCCGCTCCGCTCTGGCTGCAGTGGGACGGGGCGGTGGCCGGGAAGGCGGCTGGCACCCGTGTGCCTGGAGCCCCCCGGCGCCCAGGATAAGAGCTGTGTGGGGGATTCTTTGCTGCTGGACCAGGGTGCTTAGCTCACTGCTGTGGGCCTGGGCCCCGAGAGATGCGCCCGTCATGGCCCTCAGTCTCAGTCAGGGGAGCAGGCGCCCTTGTGGTTTTCTGTGTCACTGAGGGGTATGGCCTGGTCCCCAAAGGCCGTTGTCTTCCCCCTTAAAGAGGACACCATGGTGGGCGGGGCCTGCTGCCCAGAGCGGGTGCCCAGAGGTGGTGCCAAGAGGGGGTGGGAGGCCCCTGGCTAGAGGGCACCCTTCCAGGCTGAGATTCAGGGGGGGTCCGCCGTGGCCCATGGGGTGCCAGCCTGGTTGTGTCCCCACAGGGCACTTGGAGGTCCCCTTGAGGGGCTCTAAGGCCCATCGGGGCACAGCCCTGGCTCCGCCTGCCCGGCAGCGGCTTTTGGCAGAGCAAGCTCAGCTCGCTCGTCTTTGCGTCTGTACGTGAGAGCAGCCGGAGGGCCCCGACGTGCCAGGCGATTTCTTGGTCTTTCTCTGTTTCTGGAGAAATGTGTTGCGTCGTGGGTGCCGCGCCCTGGCCGGGGCAGCGAAGGGCGGGAGTGGGCACGGCGTCGGGATGAGCTCGTTCCCCAGCCCAGCCTCCTCTCGGTGCGGGGGCCCTGGAGCGGCAGGGGAGCGCTGCGGCGGGGCCTGGGGCTGTCCACCCGTGCCCGGTGTGCAGGGCCTCCGCCGGGCCTCCTGCCTCGTGCCCAGGAGGGGCCGGATGTGGGGTGGAGACGTGCGCGCGGCGGATGAGGGAATGGGTGCCCGGCCCTGGCCCAGGACAAGCCAGAATGACGAGCTGCGGGGGGCCGTGGGGCTCATTTCTGGTGGCTGGTGGGACCCGCTCCCAAGTGCGGTTTGGAGGGACGCGGTGACCCTGGGGGCCGGGTGAGAAGGGGCTGGAGCTCGGCTCCGAGGATGGGCGCTCGCAGGCGGGGCTGCTGGCGGGCCCTGTCCGGAGCCCCGGTTTTGGCAGCTCCGAGTCTGGGAGGGGCTTGCTGGGCCCTCGGGGAGGCGAGGGAAGCTTAGCCGAGCCCAAGAGCAGTTTCGTGGGGGCAGGAGGAGGCTTTCCTGTCTCTGGGCTGAAGCAGAGACGCATCGCCCGTCTGCGGGGCCCTAACCTGCCGGGGCGGGGAGGCCCGCTCCTGACTCCCCTGGCTGCCCGTGGTCGTCTCTTTGGGGGGTATTTTTCATGTAAAAGGGGTGGCCGCGCCGTCCACCGTGCCAGCTGCCCAACGAGTTGGCTTCTCACTCTGCCCTGGGGGCACTGCAGCACGTGCTGTGTGAACAGGCCCTTAAGGGGGCGGGGGTGCATCAGGGGCTCCCCTTGGAGGCCCGGGGTGTCTGCCCTGAGGCGCACGCCTGCAAGAACCTGCGTCCTGGGAGGGCCGGTGGCTGCCCTGGGCAGAGCCCTGTTCCCTGGCTTGTGCGCTGAAGCCTGTCCCCCTCGCCTGCCCTCACCCCGCGGCCAGCTGGGCAGGTGCCGAGGGAAGCCGCGCTCCGCCGCCCCGCTGTGTCTGCTGCGCCTCACACGCGCCCCGGCTAAGCCTGCTCCGTGTTAAGCTCGGCTTTTACTCCCGGGAACACCGGGGCTCCCGGGGTGTCGTGAGCAGGCGGCGCTGCTCCAGGAACAGCGCTCGTCTTGTAGGACGGCTGCGTCTCACGGTCCCGACCGGAAGGGGCATCCTGAGCCCCTGGCGCCTGGTTTGAGGTCGAGGGGCTGGGGGGGCCAGGCTGGTGCGGGGAGGGGCCGCCTCTCCAGAGGCAGGCCCTCGGAATGTCCGGCTTTGTTCTGCGGTCGCCGAGGAGACCACAGTTACGGGAAGGCAGTTGGTGGGCGTGGGTGGGTGGCGAGGGCGGGTGGCCGCGGGCACTTGCGTTGGTTTGGCTGGCGGCGCCCGGGCGGGGCTGTGCCCGCGGGGCGGCCTGGCCTCGGGCTGGTCCGGGTGGCCCAGGAGCTTGCGGCGGCTGCGGGCGGCGAGGGGCGGCCACCACCGCAGCACTGGGAGGCGTGAGTTTGGCCCACCGTCCCAGCGGGCGGGCCCTGGGAAGCGCCGACGCCCACTTGCTGGTTTTGAAACCGGCCGACTCCCCCGCTCCCACTGCGCCCCCGAGACTGGCTGCCCGGCAGGCCTGTCCCTCCTTGGCCGCGGGCTGGTCCCCTGCGAAGCCTGGGGAGGGCGGGGCTGGGGCGCCAGGGTCCGACTCCAGGTGTCCTTGCGGGTCGCGGAGCACCTGCCGAGGGGCCTGCTGGGGGGCAGCCCGTCGGCTTCCTCTCCCGGGCCCACCCCCGGCCTGGCGGCCTGGCCCCGAGGCTGGCTTTCTCGCTCGGAAATATGCTGCGGGGGGAGAAAGTTGATGGGGCGCAGCCTTCGGGGCGCTTTGCCATCGTCTAACCCCCCGGAGTTGGCGGGCGTGCCGCCGCTGTGGGGCAGACTCCGAGGCGACGCGTCCCTGCGCTGGCGTCCTCCCCTTCGGGGCTGCTCTGCGGGGAGACGCTTCCCTGGGGAAAACCGTGCTCCCTGAAGCGGTGCAGGGGCTCCCCCGCCCCACCTGGGCTCCCGGGACTCAGGCGCAGACCCCTGACGCGGGGTGCCGCCGGCCACACTGCGCCGCGTGCGCCGGCTCCGGCCCCTCGGGCTGCGCCCCGGTGGGCTTTGGGGCGGCCGCGAGGGAGCCGGGCCTTGCCCAGCCCTCGCCGGGGCTGCCCGGCTCACCGCGCGTGGGCTTTGGTGAGCACAGACGCTCTTCTCCCAGGCGGGGCCTGCAGGGCAGGGGCTGCTGTGGTAGTGAGCGTGTGGACTGGTGAGGCCCCTGGCCTGCTCCGGGGAGGGCCCTGAAGCTTCCGGCGCCAGACGGCCCCTGGCACCCAGTTTAGTGCAGCCGCGTCTCTTCACTGGGGAGGGGTGGTCTTGGGGCACAGGCCCTGGGGGAGGTGCCGCGGGCTGCAGGCGACGGGCACGAGGCGGCATCTGAGGCGCAGAGAGAATTGGGGCACGTGTGATTGTGGGTTTTGTGTGTTTCAGGTCGCCGAGTTTGCTTTCTGTGCCGCCGTCCTCGAGGATGGGGCACGGCTAGGCCCTGCCTGTCCCCAGCCCTGAGATCGGAGCCCTGACCGCCCGGAAGAGAATTCTCGAGGTAGGCGCTGGCATTTGGGCTTTGGCATAGCATGTTACTTTTTCTATTAAAGGTTTATTTTATTTGCTCATGGGGGCTGGAGCCGGGGCGTAGGCCAGAGTGCGGGGAGAGGGGACTCACCAGAGACAGTGGGGAGCAGAACGGGTAGATCGACTGAGACGCACCGCTGAGGGGGCAGCGGGGAGACGGGAGAGGTCTGCCGTGCCCTGTGGGTCAGCTCCCTGGCCGGGGAGGTGCTCAGGCTGCAGTGGCTGCGGACAGCTTCACAGTGCTGAGACTCGCCCCCAGGGAGGCCCTCTTGATCCTTCCAAAGGTGTCAGGTCCGAGACACCGCATCGCCCGTCAGGGAGCGAGCAGAGATGCCCGTTAATGCTGCTGAGTCGTCAGCGCTCCTAGGCCGCCTCTCGGCCTCGGTGATTTCGCTGCACCCGCCACCTCTCCGCAGGCGGCGCCGTGGGAGGCCAGGCAGGCCCCGCGTGGCTGCTCCCGCACAGTGTTGCTCTGGCCTCCCGACCGCTGCCCACCACGCTCCCGAGGCTGGTCAGACCGTGGTTTGAGGGACAGGCCTCTGTCGTGGGCAGAGCTGCTCACCCTGGCATTGGTGGGGGCACCCCCGCCGGGGCATCCTCGCCCTTCCCCAGGACGGCTTGGGTCTGGGTGGTCACAGTCCCCGTCCTCGCCCGCAGGTATGGACGACCAGGGTGACCCGAGCGCTGAGGAGACGCCCAGGGCCGTCAAGCCCACGAGCAAGGAGTTCCGGAAGACGTGGGGCTTCCGCAGGACCACCATTGCCAAGCGCGAGGGGGCCGCGGATGCCGAGCTGGAGGCGCTGGAGCAGCAGCCCCCGCAGCAGAGCCTGTCCCTGCGGCGCAGCGGGCGGCAGCCCAAGCGCACGGAGCGCGTGGAGGAGTTCCTGACCACCGTGCGCCGCCGCGGCCGGAAGAGCGCGGCTGTGTCCCCCGAGGACTCCGGCGAGCCCACGTCCTGTCCGGTCACCGACGCGGAGACCGCCTCGGAGGGCAGCGTGGAGAGCGCGGGCGAGTTGAAGAGCGGGCTCCCGCCGGCGCCTCGGGGGGCCAAGGCCTCCCCAGAGTCCGCGGCAGCCAAGGCGGGCGGCGGCGAGGAGGACTCCTCAGACAGCGACAGCGACGGGCTGACGCTGAAGGAGCTTCAGAACCGCCTGCGGAGCAAGCGAGGGCAGGAGCCCTCCGAGAGGCCCCCGAAGGGCGGTGTCCAGAACCGCCTGCGGAGGCGGCGGCGCGAGGAGGATCCGCCAGAAGCCGAGGGCGGCGAGGCCGGGCGGCCCGCGGAGAACTCGGCGCCCGACCGGCCGGAGCCCGAGGCTGATCAGGGGCCCGGGGCCCAGGCGGCCCAGGAGGGCGGGGAGAGCCCAGCGGACGGGCAGGCGAGCCCAGGGCCAAAGGACGGAGAGGCCAGCAGGCCCAAGCCGGAGTGCGAGGCCTCCGACCCCGGCGCCCTGTACTGCATCTGCCGGCAGCCTCACAACAACAGGTGGGTGCGCGGGCATCCGCCGGCGCGGGCGCGGGGCGGCCTATGCAGAGGAGGCAGGTCCCGTGGAGGGGCACGGCCTGGCTGCTTTCTGGCGCGCGCGGGGGCCTGCCACGGGATGGTGGGGAAGGGTGGGGCGCTCACCCCGCGGAGGGCACGGGCTGGCTTGGGCCCCCTCCCGCGTCTTCCCACGAAGGTGGCACCGGGCTGATGCGGTCTTCTGTTCCTGGAAACGCGCCGTGTGATTGCAGGTTCATGATCTGCTGCGATCGCTGTGAAGAATGGTTTCACGGCGACTGCGTGGGTATCTCCGAGGCCCGAGGCCGACTCCTGGAGAGGAACGGGGAGGACTACATTTGCCCGAACTGCACCATCCTGCAGGCGCAGGATGAGGCGGACCCCGAGGGTGCAGACCCGCAGGGGCCCAGGGCCGGGCCCACGGCTGCCGATGGCAGCGACGTCACGAGCATGGGGACCGTGGAGCAGAAGTCTGGCGAAGACCAGGGCATAAAGGGCAGGATCGAGAAAGCTGCAAATCCCAGTGGCAAGAAGAAGCTCAAGATCTTCCAGCCTGTAAGTGCTTGTCCCCGGGGGCTCTGGGCTCGGACATCAGCGCCCGCCTGCGAAGGGGGCGCTGCCACCTGGGCCTGCGTGCTGTGGGCTGTGCTGGCCGTGGACGTGTTGGTCCGGCACCTGCAGGACCCGAACCTGCCTCCTAGGCTGTTGCGGCCGACTCGAGCCCCTGTAGTCAGTCAGTCTCTGCACAGAGGGCGGTGCCTGTGGGTCTTGGGCCTGTGTCTGCGCGCCCCAGGATAGTCAGGGCAGCTGCTACCAGGAGGATCTCGGGTGCCCTCGCACTATAGGTTGACGTCACCCATTTGCAGACGTGTTCCCGTCAGCGCCCGCATCGCGTGTCTTGAACCCGCAGAGCCTGGGTGGGGCCCTGGCAGGGGAGTCCAGTGGTTCAAGGGCGGCCTGGGACCTGCACCGTGGCCCAACGCAGCCCCAGCCCTAGTGTTCTGGGACTGCCTTGTGGGAGACCCAGGCGTGCTGCGGGGCACCCCAGCACCTGAGGCCTCTGGCTGCCACTCTCACGTCCTCTGGGCCCCAGTGGCTCCTGCCCAGTCGTGTCCTCGGCCCGCACTCGTCTGTGCCCTTGGGGCCCTGGTCAGCGCCTTCTTCAGGCCTGTCGGAGCCCCACTGCAGGGGCGGGGCCTACCCTGGCGTAGGCCGCTGCGGGTGGGGGTGCAGCCGGGCCACTATCCCATCCCACTGGCCGTAAAGGACTTGTGGGAGCGGGCGGGACTGGCCACTTCGTCCCATGCTTTCGTGCTCACGTGTGACACCGTGCAGGCTTAATCTTGGATTCTGAGCGCAGCTCGGTTTCACGGGCAGGAAGATAACGGCCGCAGAGACCTGGGAAAAGAGACGTTGCTTGAGCGCGTCTGAGGAACGCGCTCCGTGGCAGTCCGAGCGGCGGGTCACACCTTGGCCGTCGTGGATAGAAGCAGCCGTGGTTGGCGCTGCGGTGTGCTGGCCTCCCCTGCGGCGGGCAGGCAGCTGTCATCTGGGGGCAGTGTTGGAGCAGCGGAGCTGGGGTTTGGCCTGGCCTCTCTGCAGGGTCTGCCCAGAAGGGTGTCCTGGCCCCGTGTGGCGCTCTCAACGCCATTCATCAATTCTCCAAAAGCGGATGCCCGGGGTCTTTTCTGGCACACTGCTCAAGGCGGGCCGTGGGCAGCCCTTGTCCCCGGGCCATTTGCTGCTTTAAAACCAGCAGCGGGGTCTCCTCTCTGGAAGGTCTGGGCCCACCTGACGAAGCCAGGTCTTTTTGATGGATTCAGGATCCCTTGGGCCTGAATTGTGGCACATGTGCCGGTCATGGACCTGAGCGTGGCCGACAGCCCATCAGGTCCACAGAGCATGGGGGCGCACCAGGCAGCGCTGGAGCCCTGCCCCAGAGGGGCAGAGGGGCGGGAGGGGTAGAGGTCCATCTCGCTCGTGGTCACGTACTTTGCTCCATCTCTGCTTGAAAGCGGGGGACTTGAAGCTACAGAAGGCGGCTCGCAGAGGGCCTCCTCGCCGAACCCGGCGAGTCGTGGTCCGAAGCCACATGTCTCTCCACAGGCTGTCGAGGCTCCTGGCACCGCTCGGTGCATCGGGCCTGGGTGCTCGAGCGCGGCACAGCCTGACTCCGTGTACTGCAGCAGCGACTGCATCCTGAAGCACGCCGCGGCCACCATGCGCTCCTTGAGCTCGGGTAGAGACCAGAAGCCAAAACAGAAGGAGAAGAGCAAGGCGAAGCCGGAAAAGCCGAGTCTCCTCAAGTGCAGCGTCCAGGTGCGTGTCTGGTGGGACCGGTAGGGACGCCGGGTGGACGCCCCCCCAGCATGGCTGGGGGCCCCATGGCTGGGGTCTCCCGGTGGGAGACGCTCGTGATGTGAGAAGGGGAACGGTGGAGGCGGGCGGCCGCTGCTCATCGACTTCCCCGTCGCGCTGACTGCGGCCGTGTCCATGGCTGGGGCCGTGGAGCCACTGTTTCAAGTGTGGTCTTAGCCTGCGTGGCCAGTGGTTGTGAGTTAGCGCTGTTGCTGCTGCTGCACTCAGCGAGCGGTGCCGGCCCCCAGCCCTTGCGGGAGCACGATGCACCCACCTGCCCGGGACCCTGGGCTGTGCTCAGGCCTCTGTTGCACTGGCTGCCCCGTGCCTCAGCAGTGGCGGGTGGTTCTGGGTCTGCAGTCTAGTGTCGCTCAGATGGCGGGGGTGGGTGCCACATAACTATGGCATCAGGGTGCTGGGGTCCCCAGGTACGCCCGGCAGCACCCCAGCTCAGGAGGGCGGGGGCTCGAAATGTTCTTCGTTGTAAAGTGAAACGAGTAGAGACGTTCTTCCGACCCTGACCTTTGGGGTTTTGCTGCTTTTCTAGGCAGGTGTTAAAGTTTCTTCTGTGCACAAGAGACCAGCTCCAGACAGGAAAGAAAATGCCATGAAGAAGGCGGTGGTGGCTCTCCCAAGGAACGAGGGCCTTGTGAAGGAGGCCCCCAGCGAAAGCAGCACCCCGTCCTGGGCAAGCGACCACAACTACAACGCTGTCAAGCCAGAAAGGACCCCCGCCCTCTGGCCGGCCCTGGTGTGCGCATGTATGTATCTCCCAGGGCGCCCTCCCAGACCCCTCCCACCGCGGCCGGCCACTCGGCCCGTCCAGCACATGCCCAAGCCCCATCTGCCGCCACTGCTGCCTGTGCCCTGAGGCCGTGCCTGGCTTCTGCTGGCTCGTCCCTGGCCCTGGGTCTCTCTAACCTGTTTTTGTTACCAGGCTGCGGTAAGTATTCGGATTCCTGCCAGCAGACCGAGCAGGCTCGCGGCCCGGCTCCTCACCCGCCTCCCCAGGGGCCGTGCGGCCTGGAGCAGCCCCGTGGCAGGAGCATCCCCACAGCCTGCCCCAGCACATGCATCTGCTCTGTCGAGTGTGGCGGGCCTCCTCCAACACGCACCTTAGTCAGGCCCCCGCGGCCCAGCTACATTTGGTGGGACAGGATAGTTTCAGTTCAGTTCACATGCTGCGCGCACGCACACACACACACACACACACACACACTTTCCCTCCGCTCCCCGGGGCGAAGGTAAGTGGGCATGGGCGCAGGCTTCCCAGGTGTGCCCTGACCACGGGCAGCTGCCAGGAGAGGGGCCTTGTGGCTCCCCCAAGTGTGGGGCTGTGAGCCCAGCCCTGCCCAAGTGGCCACGAGCAGGCTTGAGCTGTTTCCCGTAGATCGTGTGACGTTCTAGAGCGGGCCTGCGGCTTGGGTTTGTCTCCTTGTTTCTCAGCCTAACTTTCCGAGATTAAATTACATAAATTTAAATTGACCTGTGGGACACTCTCATTCTGCTAAGATGGCTTCCTACTCAGCGTTACGCGCTCTGTACCGTTTGTGCCTTTTTAAAAAGCACAAGTGACTAGGCGGGCCCGCGTGCCAAGGCTGGGAGGTGCTGCTGTCCCCCCCTCCCCGCCCCACTACGGCCTTGCCTGGGGAGGCGCTCCTGCAGGGCGCTGGACCTGGCGACATCAGCGCCGGACACCACGCTGTCCTCGAGCGACTAAGTGGACAAGGTCAAGACCTCAGAAATGGAGTCTCGCGCGAATGGCAGGGGAACTGGGGGCAGGGGGGGCTTTGTTTTTGTACTTCTAGGAGTGAGGTGTTAAACACAGTCATGACCGCCGTGCGGGGGCTCGGCACGCGGTAGGGTTAGCCCCCCGCAACACGCCTCGCCTCCGCCAGCCCAGCCCCTCTGCACGGTGACCGAGCACAAATGACACACTTAAACATAAGCCTGGCCTGCTGCACGCGGGCGGGGTGCCGCCTCGGACCACGGTGCCGGTGTGCCCCGAGCTCGCTGTGGGCGCACAGACGAGGGGACGCGGCCCAGCCACAGTCCAGGTAACGGCGGGTCGAGCTCAGCCCCACTCGCCTCTGTGTGGACCAGACCCCCGGCTGCCACAGACTCGTGGGTGGCGCGCTAGGAGGCGCGGGGCCCAGCGGGGGCAGGAGGAACCTGGGCAGACGGGAAGGGTGGGTGCTTGCCTCTGGAAGTCCAGCCCTGTCTCCCTGGGGGGCGGGGGGCTGCGGAGGCCTGTGTCGGCTCCCTGGGGGGCCTCTGACCCTCACTATGGAGGCAGACATCCCTGCCCCCCACACCATTCCTTGCACTCAAGGCAGTGACTGCGCTGGGCAGGGGTGGGCAGGCACCGCACACACTGAGCAGGACCGGCACCCCCAGGAGAACCTTGGCGCACCCCTGCCCATCCCATGGGCTGCAGACAACCCCTTCCCCTCATCAGCTCCTCCCTGAAGCTGCTGCGTGCAATTTGAGGTGGCAAATTTGGGACCAAGGACACTTGTCACTCTCCAGGGCAGGCCTGCCCAGCCGGGGGGGCTGCAGGAGACCACGGCACAGCGCACAGGAGGGGTCTTGCTTTTGGACTAGCAGCTGCTGCCCAATTTTTTGTTGTCCCAGAAAGGTCCTTTTCCCTAGAGATGGCAGGGCTGGGGGCGTAGGGTGGGGGCTGGGCCCCTTTGGCAGGGGTGGGTGGTGCACAGCGGGTCTCTGAGGTGCGCTCCATGCTGCTCCTGGGGCTCTTTACCCACGTCCACTCAGAGAAGGGGTAGGCTTTTCTCTCCCCCCAGGATCATGCTGTTAACTCTGGGGTCCTACAGCCCTCCTTTAGGGTGTTCATCGCTGCTCGGTGCCCGCCGCGGCTGCAATGCCCAAGGAGGGGTGCAGGCGGGTCTAGGACATGGGCCCCTGACAGGCTCATAGGGCAACCTCAGTCACTGGGGAGGCGCTAATGCAGCTCCATGTGGCCTGAGGGTGGAGCAGACCCTGAGCCCGTGGGTAGCTCGGGTGCTGGCAGGCCTGTCCCTGGGCTGAGGCCCCGGCCTGGGTGGAGCGCATGGTCCTGGGCTAGCAGCCCCAGGAGTGGGCACAAGGTTGAGGCCTGCCCTCGGCCATCAGGGAGCCGCTCGAGATGGCGCTAACACCAGCCGCCTCCCCCAGTCGCCTCAGAGGTGCCAGGTTGTTGCTGAGGGAAGGACACGGGCCTTGTCAGGCCTCTGTGTGGGGTTCCTCTCCTGTCAGCGACACGCTAGTGCCCCAGAGTGCACTTTCCATGAATAACAGCCACCAGCTGAGGCCAGGCTAGGCGGCTTCACATGCACACAGACCTCATGCAGGGAAGCGTGTGCTGCCACACACTGACCTCCAGGCCCTCCTGGAAGGACCCAGCCTCAGAAGTGGCCAGGGGTGTCCTGGGGCCCTGTAGAACTGGGTCCTTCCTGGGCAGTGGAAGGTGCCGTCACCCCCCATCTGGCATAGCGGCGCCCTCCGCAGAGCGTCTAGCTCGGGCTTGTGTGTCCACGCCCCGTGCAGTTCCAGCCGTAGCTCCTGGAAATTAAAAGAGTAGAAGTGTGACGAGCACATTTGCCACTTTCACTTAATGAAGGTGGGGGCAGCTTTGAGGCCGAGGCCCAGCGGATTCAGCAAGGGCCTGGAGGTGACCATGTAGCCGTGGCCAGGCCACTCACTGCCACCAGCGGGTTTTGTGCTGAGGCAGACCCTGGGGGCTCAGTCCTCCCAGGGGAGAGTAGACGGGCCTCCCACCTGGGCCTGTACTTGCGTTGTCGCTCGGAGCTGTGGCGGGGCGCCTGGCCCCGGGGCCCCTCGGGCCTCGACCGCCTTCCATTCCGGTGGCCGACGAAGCACACCGGCCAGTCCATAGGCAGCCAGCCCAGCCGGGCGTTGCTTTACCTTGAGCCGTGTACGCATGTCAAGGTGCAGGCGGCGCCCAGCGCAAGGGTACAGTCCCCTGGTGGGATGAAAGCCGCTTGGACCGGACGCCAGGAGGAACAGCGCCCGCTGGGGAGCACCCGCAGCCCCAGCTACCATGCCCTGGTGGGGAGCCTCCAGGCTGTAGCGCCCGCGGTGTCTGGAATCACATCTTGGAGGTAAAAGCAAGTCAGTTCTTGCGTGTGCTTCTAGAAGAACAATCCACCTCGGCGCGTGTCAGCCAGGGCACGGGAGCAAGATGGTTGCTGCTGCCTGTACGCTAGGGCAGACCTGGTGGTCATGGGGAGGGGCCATGCTGCCCGCGAGCCCCTCTGGTCCAGGCACTGGGGAGCTTCACCCCGCGGAGGGGGGTGGGGGCACCGGTGCCCCACAGTGGCCACTGCAGCCTCATGTTTGGGCTGCCCAGGGTGAAGGGGCGGGTGCCAGGGAGAGACAGCTAGGGGACTGCGTGCCGTCCTGAGCTGCCTCGGCAGCTGCAGGCAGCGGGGGCTGGGCAACCAGCTCCTGCTGTCACCTCGGCCTGCAGGGCCTCCACCCAGGAGGCGGCCGCAGTCCCTGTGGCGCCCTGTGTCCACACGTTGTATGTGAGGCCCGCCAGTGCCACCCAGTGGCCACGGGCTGCAGCGCCCCCAGCCTTGCCTGCCAGGCCCAGGTCTGCTGCTTCTGCCCCCTACGCGGCCTGCGTGTGCTCTGCTGGCATCAACCCAGCAGCTCACTCCCGTTGCCGACAGGCAGGCGCGTATGTGAGCCCCTCCGCGGCAGCTTGTCCTCCGAGCGCACGGGCGCCCCCGGCTGGCCCAGCACGCGGCTGTCCAAGGAGCCCGCCCTGGACGGCAGCCAGGGCCCTCTCCCAGGCCTGGCCTTGGGCCCTCCAGGACCACCACAGGCACGGAACGTGGGACGGCAGCGCCCTCTGCTCTGGTACCAATCTAGTGCTCCCTCCCCTGCACAGAGCACTGGGTCCCTGGAGCCCCCAAGGGCCGAGCCACACTGCTGTAGCACAGGCTCTTGTGGCTGGTCGCCAAGATGCCTTGTCCTGCCATTTTATTCATGACTTCGTACAGCACAAGTGGGTTTGCGTGGTCTTGCAGCTGGACGCAGTTCTCCTGGCAGCACTGGGTTTCTCCCCCGCGGGATACCTGGCACTAGTGGGTGGCGGCGGCGGCTCACGTAGTTCCAGTCGGGACCAGACGGACTGAATTCCGAATAGTGTCTGCATCTTAGCTGCTGCTGCGTGAGACACACAAGGGTGTGCCCGTGCGATGCCAGAGCCCCCGCCCTCAGGGTTTGCCACAGGTTTACCTGGCTCATTTTCCCACTTGTGGGTTCAGCTGGGATGGGTGAAGAAAGTTGACTTTAAAGACAAGCAACTCATTGTGGAAAGGCCAGAGGCTCGGGGAAGTCACCCGTGCCTGTTGGGCCCGGGGTTGAGGCCTATGGCGTGCCCTGCTGTTAGGCCCAGCTGGGCCCCCCTGCGTGGGGAGCGGGCTTGGATGTTGCTGGGGGTCATGGGCGCAGACCTGGAGCCAACGCCCTAAAGGCAGCGCGGAGCCTGCAGTCTGGAGCCTGGGGTGGGGCTAGGCCAGTCGGGGTCCTCGCACTGCCTCCTGCCTGTCTGGAGTCGGTTGCGTTGTCGGGGTTTCTGGGGGCATCTAGGCCGGCTTTTAAAGTTACAAAAGGACACCACTAGACCCTCAGCAAAGACGAGCTTGTCGGCAGTGAGTAGGCCAAGGTCAGCCCCGGCCACTCGCTTTTCCTGCCCGAGGTCTGCCCGGTGCCGCGGGGCTTCAGGCGTGAGCTCAGCCCCGCCCTCCGTCCTTGCCCCAGGAAAGGGGTGTCTGGAAATTTGGTGGAGGCTGAACACTAGCAGTACCTGGAGCTAGAGGCCACGGGCCTTGCAGGCCAAATCTGAGGGTAAAGGTACGTCGGCATGGACAGGCGTCGCGGCCTCCGTCGAAGCATCTGCGCAGGAGCGGGGGGGGGTTACCCTTCAGGCCCTGGTTTCCGCTGTCAGGGTTTCGAGTCTCCATTTGTGCAGACGGCCGAGCCCCACACAGCCCTGTCTCACATCCTGTTGCTGCTGTGGATCTTGTAAAGCTCAGTGACATGTGCACGCACACGTGCGCTACAGCGGAACATGGGCCCTGCACACGTGCTGGGGCCCTGGGGCACGGCTGCTGTTAGGGCCCTGCAGAACCTGGCCACAGGCCCCCCAGTTCGCAGGAGACTGGAGGGTTATGGTTGCTGGTGCTTGGTGTTTTAAGCCCTGGGGGAAAGTGAGGGTCTCTGTGCCGGCACAGCCACCTCCCTAGACGGCCACCCACGGGCGTGCCACGGCCCCCGTCCTGCACCGCAGCTGCTCTGAGGGCACCCCTGGGGCCTCAGTCCTTGCTCCAAGACATAGTTAGATTCAGCTACAGAGCGAGCTGCTGCGTGAAGGTCTGCGCAGGTCGAGGGGCTCTGGTGCCATAGGCTGCGGCGTGACCAGAGCCCCTGTCGGAGCAGCGCGGCGTCAGTGAAGGCCTCCACGCGCTGGCCCCACATAATTGCTGTCGTGCGTTTCCCACCAAGGTGGGCGCCCTCCCCAGTTGGGATTCCCGTTGGTGGCCCTGGCGGCATGTGCTCTGGCCGACCCCTATCCAAGGCAGTCGCCAGGCCTTCCGGAGGCCAGGCCTCCAGCCGGCCTTTGGTGCACACGCGACCCGCGCCAAGAGGACTCTCTCCCCGCCCTGAGCAGAGCCGCAAGCTTGTGCGTGAGAAATACTTTTTTTTTTTAAGATTCACTTTTATCTGTGTATGCATACAAGAACTGGGGTGTAGGCCAGAGGTGTGGGGAGGGGTTGAGAAGACTTCCCAGAGACGGTGGGAAGCAGAACAGGAGGATCCACTGAAATACACAACTGAGGGGGCAGCGGGGAGACGGGAGAGGTCTGCCGTGCCCTTTGGGTCAGCTCCCTGGCCCGGGATGGATGCAGGCTGCAGTGGCTGCTGATCGCTCTACAGCGCTGAGACTCACCCCTTGGGCCTCCCCTGGTGGTGCAGGCGGTTGAGCACAGCGCTGTGGAGCTGTCCACAACCTCTGTAGCGCTGGTTCGATCCCGGCCGGCCGGCGAGGGTCCCACGTGGCGCGGCAGACCTCTCCTGTCTCACCCGCGGCTCCCCTCAGCAGTGTATTTCAGTCCATCTGCCTGTTCTTTTCCTCGCTCTGGCTCTGGTGAATTCTCACCCTCCTGAGCATCTGGCCTGTACCGATTCTTGTATAAATAAATAAATAAATCTTTAAAACAAACAATAAAGAGGGAGCCTCAGCTTCGGTTAACTTTCGCTGACGATGTAGGTGAGGCCTCGGGAGCTGGTCCCAGTGTCCTTCCCTCTGGTCTGCGCCCGGGCAGGGCCTGGGGGCTGCCGCAGGCCCGCGGTGCGTGTCCACATGCTGGAGCCACGCTCACGCAGTCTGTGGGTTTCCTTTGCAGCCACAAAGGACGACAGGCGAGCGGAGGAGACCTCAGCCATAGCAGCAGCGGTGCCCAAGAAATTGGCCCCTCCAGGTTCCTCGGCGGGCGGCAAGCAAGCTTCACCCAGAAATCTCCTCCCAAAGAAGACGCCTCTCACCAGCGTGGCTACAGCCAAACCATCCTTAAAGAAATCGCCGTCTGGGTTCACGGGCGCCATCCCCAAGAGGCCATGGCTGTCGGGAGGGGCCGGCGGGGCCAGGCCGGCGGGGCTGGCTCCGGGGGCCACCGCGTCTGCTCCCCGGAAGTTGCCTGCTTCTGCTGCTGTGGTGGGGGCCGCGCGGAAGTCTGGGGCCGCCACCACGCCCTTGGCGTCTCCAGCTCCTGGACGCCTGGGGGGCTCGGGCCCAGCCCCTTCACAGCCAAATTCGCAAATTCGGCAAAATATCAGGCGCTCCCTGAAGGAGATTTTGTGGAAAAGGTGGGCTCTTTGTCCTGAGTGTGTCCGTTAACAGGGCAGGCTTGCCCGGGGCCCGGGTCGGGGTGAGGGACCCTGACGCGGCGTGTCCCACCAGGGTCAGCGACAGCGACGACCTGGCCATGACGGAGGCGGAGGTGGGCAAGGTCGCGCTGCACATCGAGAAGGAGCTGTTCAGCCTGTTCCGCGGCACCGACACCCGCTACAAGAGCAAGTACCGCAGCATCATGTTCAACCTCAAGGACCCAAAGAACCAGGTGTGCGCTCCGCCCAGCCCTGGGCGCCCACGCCCTCCCCGCTGCACCTCGTCAGGAGCCTCTCCCTGGCCCTGGTGTCCACCCCACTTCACCAGGTGACCCCCTCTGAGCGGGCCTGGGGACCGACTCCCTGCACGGCCAGTGGACCTGCACGCGGCGCCCTTGGCTTCCTGACGGGGACCTTGGGGAGGGGGCGCGGCCTCGGGGCGGCTGGTGGTGGATGGGAAAGGCGCGCTGGAGAAGGGCCGGGACCTGCCGGCCCGGCTTGCATGTCCTGCGCCCGTTGCCCTCAAGCTGGGTGGTGCATGATGGCCGTCCCCGCGCCGGCGTCCTGCCTCTGTCCCCGCCACGCGCCATCCAGAGTGGGTCTCGTCTCCTCGGGGTGGCCTCTTTAGCCACCTGGCCTGGAAGCCCAGCCCTGGTCTCTGCTCTCCCGCAGGGGCATCTGGGGAGCTGGGCAGCACCCCCTGCCCAGCATGCCCCAGGCACCGCGTCCCCAGCCCTGTCTGGGGAGCCCGTGCAGCGCCTGAGGGCAGACCCCGGGTGGAGTGGTGACAAGGTGCTCATCCCCAGGGCCTCTTCCATCGCGTCCTGCGTGAAGAGATCTCCTTGGCCAAACTCGTGAGGATGAAGCCAGAAGAGCTGGTGTCCAAGGAGCTGTCCATGTGGAAAGAGAGACCCGTGAGATCCGTGAGTGCGGGTGGGGCGGGGCTGTTGGGGCCCCGAACGCCCCTGTTCTGGGGGTGGCTCCCCTGGAGAGCGGGGCTGACATGGGCATGCCTTCTCCTGTAGGTGGCAGAGCCCCGAGCCCGGCCGCGCGGGGAGAGCAGGAAGACGGCCGCCAAGCCGGAGCCCCTCCCGGACATGGAGGACTCGCCGCCTGTGTCAGACTCCGATGTAAGCCTGGGGCCCGGCCGTGGCCCACCCAGCCAGACGTGCGGCCCTGCGGGTGGGCGCTCGCCACAATGGGGTTCTGGGCTGTGACTGCCTGGCGGGCGGATGGCGCCATGTGACCGGCTGGCGTTTGTGTCCCTGGCCAGGAGCAGGAGTCCGCCCGGGCAGCCCCCGAGAAGAGCGCGGCACCCGCCCTGGACGTCTTCAGCAGCATGCTGACGGACACCACAGGCCAGCACCGGGCGCATCTGTTCGACCTGAACTGCAAAATCTGCACCGGTGAGCGTGGCCGGCGTGCGCGTCCTCCCTCCCCTGGCAGCGGGCCTGGCCGCACACTGGGGCTGTGCTGCGGCCTTGTCCTGGCGGCCGTGCCCACCTAGCGCAGCTGAGTTGAGAAGAGGCCGGGCTGGAGCCGTTGTTTGGAAGATGAGAAAGTAAAGATAAGTCGCCCGCCCCCAGGGAGGCCTTTCTCGGCCGCCTGTGCGTGGCCACCCCAACCGGTGTGTCTTCTGGCTGCCCTGCTTCTCCTCGGCTGCTGCACATGGGCCCCTACTCGGGACGGAGCAGCGGCCACAGCTGTGAACCCTGGCGCCCGAGCGGGGCCCCGGCCCCGGGTCGAGTGTGGCCGTGGCAGGGACACGGGCCGCTCTTCGATAAGGCGTTCACAGGCTGAGGCTGAAGTGGGTCCTGTGGCCAGTCCCCGGCCTGTGGCGGAGCGTGTGTCAGCCACGCCCTGCCCAGTGTTGCTCCCTTACCATGCCATTCCTGTGTCTTAGGCCAGCTGCCCTCCTCGGAAGACGAGCCAGCTCCCAAGAAGCAGAAGCTCTCCATGCCTGCCAGGAGGGAGGACTCGAGGCCCAAGCGGGAGGGCCCCACCCCGGAGCCTGGGCTCAGCCCTGCAGACGACGCACTGCCGGAGACCACAGCCGAGAGCGCCCCCGAGCCCGATCGGAGCAGTGCACCCCGGCCACTCCTAGAGAAGAAGGCCTTCCCTGGTCCACCGGGGGACCCCGAGTCCTCCACCCCGGAAGGCGCCTCCTGCGGGGCTGGGGTGCTCACCACCGTCACGGTGTCGGGCCGGGACCCCAGGACAGCCCCCGGCAGCACGTGCGCGGCCCCGGCTCCCTCCGCCGCCCGCCCAGACGGCACCCACGCAGTAGAGCCCCGCCCTGACGCAATGAAGCCTCCCGTGACCTCTGTGACGCTGCCCAAGTCCATCCTGGCCAAGCCATCGTCCTCGCCCGAGCCTCGATACCTGCTGTCCGTGCCCCCGTCGCCAGGCCTTGGGTGCGTCCCCGTGCAGCCACGGGGCTGGGGGTCAGGCGGCCTGCCCCTGGGGTAGGGGCCTGGGGCTTGCCTTCCTGGCCACTTTCTTGGTGCCAGCTTTTCCTCTTGAGCCGGAACGTTCACTTCATCATGATGGGTTGGTTTGAAGAAGCGAACCCCCACAGCTCACCGGGCTCAGGCCCTGACGTGCCGCCCCACGCTGGAGGGCTTTTACCAGAGAGGCTGACCGGCCCCCTCTGCTTTCCACAGAGCCTCGGAGCCTCGGTCCCCGCCCGAAGGGGACACGACCCTCTTTCTGTCTCGACTCAGCACCATCTGGAAGGGCTTCATCAACATGCAGAGCGTGGCAAAGTTCGTGACGAAGGCATACCCCGTGTCCGGGAGCTTCGACTACCTCAGCGAGGTCAGCAGGGTCTGGCTGTGGGTTCCCCAGGGCCTGAGCTTGGCCCAGACGCAGACTTTCCCGAGGGCAGGTGGAGAGCCCTGTCCCGCGGGTGCTGGCGCCCCTGTGGGGGGCCCATGGCGCTGTCCTGCCCTTGCTGCAGGGACACTGGGCTCCTGGGGCTCCGGGACTTGTGACACGGCTCTGGCCTTTGTGGCGAGTAGTGCAGGGCCAGTGCTGTGGGGGCAGGCGGGCGAGTCCCCCCCCGGGGGGCCGGCGCTGAGTGCCACCAGCCTGGAGTCCGCTCCTGTGCCCGCCCCGAGCTGGCCCGTTCCTGACCCGTGCCCGTGTTCAGGACCTGCCCGACACCATCCACATCGGCGGGAGGATCGCCCCGAGGACCGTCTGGGACTATGTTGGCAAGCTCAGGTCTTCCGTGTCTAAGGTACCTGCTCGGCTGCCCCCCCCCATGGAAGGTGGCGTCTGTCGTCCTGCTGGGGACGCGGGCACCTGGGCGTGCTGGCCGGGGGCGGTGGGTGCGGCCGGAGCCCCTTGCCCGCCCTCAGCCCTGGGAGCCAGGCCAAACCCGCTGGCCAACCCTCTGCCCTGTCTGTGTCGTAGGAGCTGAGCCTGGTGCGCTTCCACCCCGCCACTGAGGAGGAGGAGGTGGCCTACATCTCCCTCTACTCCTACTTCAGCAGCCGCGGCCGCTTTGGCGTGGTGGCCAACAACAGCCGGCACGTGAAGGACCTCTACCTGATCCCGCTGAGCGCCAAGGACCCCGTCCCCTCCAAGCTCCTGCCCTTCGAGGGCCCAGGTGAGCATGGGCGAGGCGGCGCAGCGTCCTCCTGGCCGAACGCGAGGCTCTGTCCCGGGGCTGGCTCCGGGCGGCGTCCCGGCGCGGCACCATGCGCTGTGGAATGGCTTCCAGCGGGCGGCTCGGGGCCGTCCTGGCGGCGTCAGCTGTCTCAGACGCGCTCGGTGCAGAAGGACGCCTCCCAAGCCTGGCCTCCGCGAGGCTGGGCTGCCGTCCCGCCCGAGAGTGCGCCTGTCGCAGCGCAAGGGCCGTGGCCACGGCCCCTAGTCTCCAGCTGAGGAAGACGCGGCGTCCCCTCCCTGCAGCGCTGGCCCGTGGAAAGGCCGGGGGCAGTGGCGAGGCGGGAAGCGTTGCTGGAGTGCTCCTCCCAGGCTACCCCATGTGCCGCCACCTCCCCGTGGCAGCTGTGTCCTGCTCGCTCTCCCTGGGGCGCCACTCCCTGGCCTCGCAGGCTGTCTTGCCCCGAGGCGGTGGGTGCTGGCACGGGCAGCAGCCACCCTGGCCCTCTGGCCGGGCCCCACCTCTCCCTGCTCTTTGGGATGCGCCGTGCAGGGCTGAGTGGTGTCGGGGCTGTGGGGCGCCTTTCACAGCATGACCTGAGGGGTCTTGGTGCCAGAGACCCAGTAATGGCAGGCCCTCCAGAGGGCCCCTCACTGTCCCTTGGGCGAGCGCCTAGTGGACGGCACTGGCCAGCCCCTGGGGGAGCATGAGGGGGGCAGCCAGCGTGCTGGGCAGAGCACAGAAGAGCTCACTCCCTCAGACCGGGAAGTCCTGGCCCAGAGCTTGGGCTGGCCCTGGGCATGTGGTCGATCCTCCATGGGGCAGGGCGGTTTCTTGTCTTGAAATTCACGCCAGGGGAGCCAGCCTCTCTGAGAAAGCGGAAGTCCCTTCCCTTTGGGGCGTGCGACAGGTGCTGGTGGGGTGGCTGCGTCATGCCTTATGAGGGTGGAGTGTGGGGGTGAGCTTCGGAGATGGGCCTGGCCATTGGGCCACTTGCTGCCTGCAGCCCCAAGGTCTGTACCTCCCAGTCGGGCACCCAGAGGCCCCACTGTCAGCACCAGGCGGTGTGAGCGTCTGGCTGCAGCCGCCAGGGCCTCGGAGCTGTGGTGGGCGTCACTGCTCCCGCTCTGCAGGTTTCTCTAAGGGCTTCTTAGACCCGAGCTTGCTGCCACGGTGCCTTTAAACTCCCCACTGTGCCTGCTTCTGCGACGCTAACGCCCTTCCCAGCCTAGCACCTGCTCTCCCGGTGGGCGCCCGCCCGGCCTTGCTGTGCGGTGTGCCTGTGTGTCGTGGGAGGGCGCAGGGCAGGCATGGGCCTGCCCTTGTATAGCACACCTGGGCAGCCCTGCAGACTTGAGGGTGGCAGCCCCACAGCAGGTGCGGTGCCCACTGCCCAGTGAGCTTTGGCAAGGTGCCGTCGCCCGAGGTCAGTGGGGCCTGGCTTCAGGGCGGCCCCCGCGTGACAGGTGAGCATGTCCGTGGCCTGGGAGCGGTAGCCGCATGCAGACTCTGACCCAGGCCAGGAGGCGCGTGCCGCGGCCAGAGGGCCCTTCCTCCTGCTTCGAGATCAATAAACGCATTCCTGCAAACCGGTCGTGGCGTGTCTGAATCCGAACCCCTCTGTAGCTCCCGGTGCCTGCCACGCCCCCCACAGAGGACGGTGTCTCCGCTCTCGCCGACTGCGCCGGGCCCACGGGTGGGGCTGCTTGCGGGGCCGGCTGGACACGCGTGGTTCTCGCAGTGAGTCGGCGCTGCGCGGCCAGTGGGCGTGGGGGCAAGAGCAGCTTTGTGTCGTGGGCCTCAGGGTTGAGCGGTCCCTTGAGGCATCTGCCCAGGGCACAGCTCCTTCCCCGTGAGACCATGCTGGGCCGCGCGCCTTGCACGCCCTGCTGCCGCCCTGCCTGCCTCTGGGCCTGCCTCAGCCGTCAGCGCCTTTCTGGTGGATCCCTGCTCCTGGCGTCCCCACACCCCCTCAGGGCCCCTGAAGACTCGGCACGTCCACGCAGCCAGAGGCCGCCTTCGACCCCAGCACGGCTGTGAACACATGCGCCCCCACCTGTGAGGGCGTCACGCCCACGCCCTGTCCCAAACGGCCCCTCGCCTTGGATGGAGGCCGGCACATGCACTCCTGCTGCCCGGTGCTCCCTGCTTGCAGCGCCCTCCCGCCGGCCCAGAGCAGTGCCTGGCTGCCTGGCTGCGGTGGGCCCCGCTCTCTGCCCGGCCTCACGCCCCGCCGCTGCACGTCTGAGGCCACGCTTCCCGGGTGCCCTTGCAGGGGCCCAGACGGCCCTGGTCGGGGCCTGGCTGTGTGCCTGCTGCTCAGGCGTCTGCCTGCCCAGCAGGGCTGCCCAAAGGCCAAGGCCCGGGCGCCGGGCCCCAGGCACTGCTGACTTTTTGGACCTCCCGCAGCCGCACACGCGCCCTGCCTCGGGTGCCGCCTGTCTGGGGCGCACCCCCGTGGCTGTGTGCTCGTGGCCCTGGGGCTCTGCGCGGGCGCCGGCATCGCCGGCCTTTGTTCTCCACGCAGAGGTGACCGCACAGCTGGCGTGGCCTCGCCCGCGGTGAACTTGAGGACGGCCTGTTTGCTCAGAGGTGCCTGGGAGCCCAGGCCGTGGAGGGTGTCTTCAGGGTGGGGCTTCCTCACCAGGGGCCTGCCCCACCCTGGCCTTCTGCCCGCTGGGCAGCATTGCTTGGCTCTGGGCACCCCGACAGCACGACGCTGGCCCAGAAGGCCAGAGCTTTTCCGAGCCAAACCGCCCTTAGTTCACACTCGGGGGAATTGATGGCTCGCCCGGCTGCTGCTGAGGGCTGGGGGGATGCTGTCCAACGAGGCGGGGTGAGGGTGTGTCAGGGGTGCACCGCGGGAGGGCGATGCCACCCACTGTCCTCCCGGGCTGGGCCTCTGCCTGTCAGCCGCCCGCTGGCCTCGGGGAGGCCGGGCGCCCCGTCCCTCGGACCGCGCCTCAGAGCCGGACGCGGCGCCAAGGAATGGGGAGTTCGGCCTGTTTTCCTTTTTAGTGACTGAAACGGCAAAGGGCGACCCGTGTGTCTCGGCAGCGCGGCGGGCGCCCCGAAGTCATAGTGTGCGCCGCGCGGCCCCTGCCCGAGGCGGCCTGCCCTCTGTGCTCTGGGAGGGGCGCGCCGGGCGCACCCTGGAGCTCTGGGCTCGTGAATGGGGCTGGAAACCGACAGTCCCGGCAGGACGGTCCGGCCCGGCTGGTGGAGTGACCGCCTGTGTGGACGCCAGCCCCGCTCCTCCCGCTCCCGCCGGCCGCCTCTCCGCGGGCGCCCCCGGTGGCAGCTGGCGGCTGCGCAGCCTCAGGGCGGGGCGGGCCTCTGACCCTGCGGGCGCCGCTGTCTTCCTGCCTCCGGTGGAGGCCCGGGGCTGTCTGCCTGGCGGGCAGCCATGGCTTCACCGCGTTCCAGGTTGAGCTGGGGGCCACCCAGGGGCCCCCCGGCTGCGCCTCTGCTCAGGGTCACGGGCCGCGTGGACCCCGGCTCTGGCCTCAGCTGCTCCCCAGCAGAAGCCCGTCGAGGTGGGCAGCTGGGCTTGCTCGCAGCCCGCAGGACCCTTCCGGCTCTCGCTTCTGTCTTGCCGCAGGATTTCGCCCCTGCCTGGGGAAGCGCCCCCGGGACGCCTGGCCGGCGCCTCTAAAGTGGCCACAAATGTTTTGTTTTTCAGGCCTTGAGTCACCACGTCCAAACCTGATCCTGGGGCTGGTGATCTGCCAGAAAACCAAGCGTCCCGCGGCCGCCGGAGAGCCGGACAAGCCAGATGAGAAGCGGGCCCGGCCGCAGGTGCCTGAGGACGCAGACACCCCCAAAGCGCCAGTCGCCCCGCCATCTGACAAGAAGGGCCCCAAGTACCAGCTTGGTCCTGGGGAACCGGCCAGCAGCACCCCCCCACAGTCCCCACCCCCGCCGCCGCCTCTCCCAGAACCACCCGCGCCTGCCCCCTCGTCGGTGCTCAAGTTCCTGTCGTCCCTCAAGCCCGGTGCCCCCAGCGCCGCTGCACCGCCCACCACGCCGCCCGCGGCCCCCGCGGCCGCGTCCTCCACCACCGCTGCCCCCAAGACGGCCTCCCCGCTGGAGCACATCCTGCAGACGCTCTTCGGGAAGAAGAAAGCCTTTGACCCTTCCGCCAGGGAGCCTGTGGACTCGGCCCCGGCCTCCCACCCCGACGGCAAAGGCAAGGCCGAGGGCGGGCTGCCCGCAGCGCCCCTGCTCGACCCCATCGTCCAGCAGTTCGGCCAGCTCTCGAAGGACAAGGCTCTGGAGGAGGAGGAGGACGACCGGCCCTATGACCCCGAGGAGGAGTACGGGCCCGAGCGAGCCTTTGGGGTCCCGCTTGGCGATGGGGGGCGGCGCCCCGACACCGACCCGGCGCCCGAGCCCGCGGAGCGCGAGGAGGTGGCCTATGACCCTGAGGACGAGACCATCCTGGAGGAGGCCAAGGTGACCATCGACGACCTGCCCGGCCGCATGTGCGCTGACCTGCGCGGGGGCCCCGCCGCCCCCTCGCTCGTGGAGCAGCAGCAGATGCTGGAGGAGCTGAACAAGCAGATTGAGGAGCAGCAGCGGCAGCTGGAGGAGCAGGAGGAGGCGCTCCGCCAGCAGAGGGCCGCCGCCGGCGCCTCCATGGCCCACTTCTCCGTGTCAGACGCGCTCATGTCCCCGCCGCCCCGGCCGGCCCTGCCTCGGGCCGAGCTCTTCCCACCAGAGCAGCCGGCCGCAGGCAGGCCTGCCGCGCTCCCCGCCCCCGGGCCACCCGCCGGAGACTCCAGACCCAGCAGGGACCCCCGGCAGGCCCGGCGCCTGGCGGCCGAGAGCGGCGAGGCCGAGGCTGGCCCCAAGGCTGCCGCCAGGGAGGCACCCGGAGCGGCCGCCCAGGAGGAGCAGGAGCTGGGGCCCCCGCCCTGGGCGCCAGGCGACGGGGCTCTGCCGCCCGCCCAGCAGGATGGGTCCGCGGGCGTGCACATGGAGAGCCCCCCCGCCCCGCTGCCTGGCGATCCCCCTCACCCCCGGCCGGGGAGGCGGCAGCTCGGCCCGCCCGTAGGGTGCTGCTGCCCACGCCCCCCAGCACGGCCTTCCAGCCCAGCCCCCCACTGCAGCCGGATGGCCCCGGGGGGAGGCCCCCGTTCCCTGGCCCTGGGCCAGCGGCGCAAGAGGGGGCACTCGGCCCCTCCCCGTACGACGGTCCACGACACCCTCATTTTGCTGACAGAAGCGATGGTCCCGTCCCCGACGCTGAAGGGGACAGAGGCAGACCCGGGGAGGGACCCCCTCTGTTCCTGCCCTCCGGGCCCAAGGGGGGAGGGCCTCTGCCCCAGCTGCAGGGCTCGCGAGAGCCAGCCCCACGCCCCTTCGGGGTGCCAGGGCTGCACAGCCCCGCCTTCCCAGGACCCAGGGGCCCGGCCCCTCCGTTCCCAGAAGACAGCGTGACTCCTAGTAACGACGGGCCCAGGGGGCCCCTGCCGGCCAGGTTTGGGGCCCAGAAGGGGCCCATCCCGTCCCTGTTCTCAGGGCAGCACGGGCCATCTCCTTATGGAGACCCTAGGGGCGCTGCCCCCTCCTACCTGGGGGGCCCCAGAGGAGCAGTACCCCCCGCATTGGAGGAACGCAAGGACCCCCACGGGGACAAGCGGGAATTCCAGGACCCCCCTTATAATGAGGTGGCAGGGCCTCCTGGCCAGTTTGAAGGGCCGGAGCCGGCCCAGTTCCTGGGGAGCAGAGGGCCCACCCCCTTCCAGTTTGGAGGCCAGAGGCGGCCTCTGCTGTCTCAGTTTAAAGGGCCCCGGGGGGGGCCTCCTCCCGCTCAGTTTGGAGGTCAGCGGGGCCCCCCACCTGGCCACTTTGTGGGCCCCCGGGGGCCACACCCCCCTCAATTTGAAACTGCCCGGGGCCCCCACCCCAATCAGTTCGAAGGACCCAGAGGCCAAGCACCCAGCTTCATGCCGGGGCCCCGGGGGATGCAGCCTCAGCAGTTCGAGGAGCAGAGGGTCAACTCGCCCCCGCGGTTCGCGAATCAGAGGGCGCCCGCGCCCCTTCCCTTCGGGGGACCCAGGGCCTCGGCTCCGTTTCCCGACGGCAGCGAGCCGGCACCCCCACGCTTCCACTTCCAGGGCCCTCCGGCGGGGAAGCTGGGCCCTCGGCCCCTGCTGGAGCTGCCCAGCCACCCCCCGCAGCACCGCAAGGACCGCTGGGACGAGGGGGGCCCGGCCCCTGCCCCTCCCGCAGGTGCCCCCGGGCCGGGGCCCGGGCCCGAGACCGACGCCCAGTGGGCCGCAGCCGAGTGCCGCGAAGGCCAGGGCCACGAGTACCGGGGCCAGGCCTTCGAGGGGCGGCCGCGGGAGCGCTTCGAGGCGGGGCCCAAGGAGAAGCCGGCCGAGGAGCCCGAGGGCCCGCTGCCCGACTGCCGGCCGGGCCGGGCCCTGGAGGAGCGCAGGCGCGACCGGGAGCACGGCAAGCCCTGGGAGCGGGAGCGCAGCCGGGCCTGGAGCCGGGAGCGGGACTGGGACCGGGGCCGCGAGTGGGACCGGCACCGGGAGAAGGACGCGGGCCGCGAGTGGGAGCGGGGCAAGGAGCGGGGCGCCGGCCGCGACAAGGACCGCGAGTGGGGGCGCAGCCGGGAGCACAGCCGGAACCGGGAGCGGGACCGGGACCGCAGGCGCGGCCGGGACAGGTCCCGCAGCAGGGACCGGGACGGGGACCGGGGCAGGGCCCGGGAGCGCGAGCGGGGCCGCGACCGCCAGGACCGCAGCAAGAGCAAGGAGGGCGCCCGGGAGCCCAAGGCCGAGGCGCCCCGGGCCGCCGCCCCCGCCCCGAGCTAGGCGGGCCGGGCTGCGACTCTGTAAATGTCGTGTACACGGTTTCCTACCAAGATTTGACACCTTTGTGGCCGCGCTTTTTAAAAAACAGAAAACGCGAAACGGTATTTCCATTTGAAGTCTCTGAAATGGGAAGTGTCGCCGGAGCACGTGGCTTTCTCCGGCCGGGCCGGGCGGGGCGCGGGGCGGGCGCGGGCTTTCCCCTCTCGCGGGCTTGGGTCGCAAATTCCAATGGAGAAAGCAGCCGCCTCGAGTCCCGCTCGGTTCCCGCGCGCGGCCTTCAGGAGCGAGGCGCCGCCTGGCCCCGAAGAGATGCTCCGGCGCCCTCGGGCCGGGCCGCGCCGCGTTGGCGGGAGGCGTTGTTGTCACTGAGAATGGCGCCGGGCGAGCGCCGGGACCCCGCCTGCCCCTGCGCGCGGGCGCGTCCTGAATGTGAAGCGCGCGAGCCTAATTTATTCGACTGTACAAATACACTTTGGTCCTTTTTTTATGTTTTCATAAACTTACTTTTGCAAACGTAAAATCAGAGACTCCGTTTGTCCTGTGGCGCCCTCGCCGTGCCCGTCGCTGCGGGTCTCTCAGCCCGGCACCGGCGGGCCCGCGGAGGGACGGCCGCCCGCCCGGCCCCGCGACCAGCCGGCAGGGCACGCCGGGTCGAGCGCCAGCGTCTAATAGGATGGGAGGTTTTTACATGTGAAACAGATTTTTCTCATTTAAATGCACAAATGGAAAACTCGTGTTTCCGTAGGGTTGTTGGCGGGGATTCCTGGGAGCTGTGTTTCCTATCGCGGAGTCTTCTAGCAGCGCACCTTGCGAGGAGGCGCAGCCTCGGTTTTGTTACTTGAGGTAGAATAAACCTCTCAGACTCCGCGTGTCCCTGGGGCTCTCCGTGGGCACCCCCAGCTCGGGGCCAGCTTAACCCGCGGCGCCCTTGGCACAGCCTCCCTCCACCCATCAGGCCCTTCTGGGCGCCGCCAGGCGCTGCCGACCCTGGAGCTGCAGCTCCAGCAGCCCGGGGCTGTGCAGGGAGAGCGGGGAGTCAGCAGCCAGTGCAGGGCTCTCCCCAAAGTCCACTGCTGCTGGGCTCAAAGAGCGCAGGCTCCGCCCTGAGCCGACTAGCGCCCGGGGGTGGGGCACTGGGACAGTGGTGGACAGGGCCGTCAGGCCCAGGGGAGCAGCTGCTCCCATGCTGGCACGGCCGCTGCAGACGGAGAGGACTCTCGCGGTGCTGGCCTTGGCTTTCAGACGGTCAGTGGCTCCGCGCGCTGGCCTCAAGCTGGCAGCCAGTGCCAGGGGGTAGCTTCTTAACAGCACCTGCGCCCCTCCCTGCCAGGAGCCGAACCCGCAAGCACCAGCAGCCAGGCCCAGGGCTTCTAACGGGGGGCACAGCGGACGAGGGGGAGTCCTCGAAAGGAGGCAAGCGAAGGGGGGCCGGCAGGGCCGCTGCACCGCCCACAGACTATTGTCAGAGAAACTGCTGTCCAGGTGCGCGCTGGAGCCCCCAAAGCCACGGAGGCCGGCCCCGGCCGAATGCAGCACCAGGGAGCCTGAGCACACGGGCCCTCGCAGTCTACAGCCAGGGCCCCGGCCAGCGGCTCCCCTTCAGCAGCCCAGGTGCCCCGAGAGCACAGGCCCCCACCAGCCATGTGCAGCCCAAGGGGGTCTGGGCACCTGGTACTGCCCCCCCCCTTTCTCTTTCTCTCTGGTGCGGGTGCCCTGCGGGTTCAAGGCCAGGCTTTGCTCCTCTGGGCCAGCCGCACCCATGCAGGCTCTCTGCCCCTGTGGCCTCTGACCTGCGGGAGCTCGCAGGTGTGCCTTCAGCTGCCAAGTGTGCGAGGGTTGTCCCAGCAGCTTCAGCGACCTGTGACAGGCTCAACCTGTGGTTGAGGGTGTGTAGGCCGCTGGGCCTGGAGCTCTGGGGCCGAGCGCACCTGCTGGGCACTAGGACGGTGGGCACATCGCTGGGAGCCCCAAGCTGGCTGCGCTGGACCAGCTCCCGCGGGCGCCTCAGCCTCAAGGTTGCCCTGGCAGCACCTTGGTCTTGGGGGCAGGCAGGTTGGAAGATGGGCAGGTCAGGTTGGAGGGGGCGTCCCCTGAAGGGGGCTACGAGCAGAGACCTCAGAGGGATGCTCAGCCTGGGGGCCTTGGCAGGAGGCCGACCTGGGCTCCAGGTGTGTGGCTGGGCCAGGCGGCCTCCATAGCCTGGACACCCTGTGGCCACAGGTTGGGGATCCCGGCGCTCCAGGCCCCTCCTGCCACCAGGTCGGGCTCCACTGCTGGGCTTTGCCTGTTTCTCCTGGCCCGGAATTGGCATCTGGCTTCCCTGCCCCGCAGAGCCCCCCACCCCCCACCTCACTGAGGCTGCACTGACCCCCGCACGCCTGGAAATGCCTTTATTTGCTGCTGCTGCTGCTGCTGCTGCCACTGGGAGGGGCGGGCGGGCAGATTTCTTCCCTCGGCTCCGCAGGGCCAGCCTGTCCTGCCCGTTGCCGGCTGGGGCTGGCCCTGCCCCTCCGACGTCTCTGATGCCGAGTGTTTGTGACGAGATGGTGTCTTTCTCTTCGTGTTCTTGCACAGGAGGCCTCATGGCTGGGTCTGTGGGTTTGCAGCTTTCACAACACTTGGGAGACTTTGCACCGCGGCCCACGGTGCCCTCCTCCTGCGTGTCTGGGCCGGCACCCTGGGCCATCCACCTGCCGGCCTCTCCCGTGTCACCCTGGACAAGTCCTTTCATGCTGCGAGTCCACCCGTTTTGCCCTGAACAATGCACCGCATGCAGGCGAGGAGCCGAGGTGGCCACGGCCGCCCTGCAGGGAATGGAGCCTCAGCGGGGACGGGCCGGCCCGGGCGTGGTTGGGAACGGGCCTGGCTTAGCGGCGGCTGGTCGTGAGCAAGGACGGCTCAGCTCCTGGGAGATGAAGGGGGCCTTGGGGGTCCTTGTCACTGCTGGAGTCTTCTTTTTTTTTTTTTTTTTAAAGATTTATTTATTCATACAAGCCCTGGGTACAGTCAGGAGCGCGGGAGGGTGAGAGAATCCACCAGAGCCAGAGCGGGGAGCAGAGCAGGCAGAAGGACCGAAGTACACTGCTGAGGGGAGCAGCGGGCGGCAGGAGAGGTCTGCGCGCCATGCGGGACCCTCCTCCGGTGGCCGGGGAGCAGCCGGGGATCGAACCGGCGCTGCGGAGGCCGCGGGCAGCTTCACAGTCCAGCGCTCAACCGCTGTGCCACGGCAGGAGGCCTCTGCCTGAGTCTTCTTGGAGAACTCTGGGTTTTTGTCAGATCCTGGTGCATCGGGGATGAGCGTGGGCAGGTGGGGCCTCTCACCTGGTGCCCCTGCCCCTCACCTGACCCCCCACTCCTCACCTGACCGCCCACCCCGCCCCTCTCACCTGAGCTCTGCCAGAGCTGCAGAGGGGCCTGCCCAGGGCGTCACCCAGTTGGCCTGGGAAGGCCCTTCTGCTGTTGTCCTCACGTTGTCTTCTTTCTATTCAAATGGGGTGCACTGGGCAGCAGCGCCCCGCCGGGGCTGGGGCTCACGAGGACCAGGGCTCAGGGTCCCCCAGCTTGCTGACCGCTCCCCAGGAAGGTGGCGGGGCGGCGGGTGTCCTGCTGAGAGCTCTAGGAGCCCATCAGTGGCGCTGGCCTCGGGGTGACCGCACAACCTTGCCCTGTAGTGCAGGCGTTTCAGTCCCTGGAACCACCTCGCGCGTGGGGGTGACGGGCGCTCGGGCAATTTTCCCGCGGGGCTCCCCGCCGCCCTGACGCGCTCTGTGGACCGAGGGGCACGTGCGCTGGGAGAGGGGAAAGGTCGTCCGACGACATGCGGGGGTGCGCTTGCGTCTGCCGGGAAAAAAGACACCGCAAAAGCGGGGGTTGCGCCCCAAAGACAAGTGGGCCCCGGGGTCACGGGCGAGCAGAGGCGGCGCTGGCCAGCGCGGGCCCCGAGGACGGCGGGGGGGGGGGCGGGGGGGGGGCGGCCCCGAGGGCGCCGGGCGGGACCGCGCGGGGCGGGCGGGCGCGGGGCGGCTCACCTGGCGACCGCGGGCGTCCCCGCCGGTGTCCCCGGCCGCCCGCTCCGCCCCGGCCCGCGCCTGGCTCCGGGCTGTCACTGGACACGTGGACACTCGACCCTGGGGGCGTGGGAGACTCGGAGACCCCGGCCGGGCCCCTGGCCCCCCCCCACCGCCCCGCGGCTCGCCCCGCCCCGCCCCGCCCCGCCCACTCCCCCTCCCGCGCCCCGCCCCGCCCACTCCCCCTCCCGCGCCCCGCCCCGCCCACTCCCCTCCCGCGCCCCGCCCCGCCCACTCCCCCTCCCGCGCCCCGCCCACTCCCCCTCCCGCGCCCCGCCCCGCCCACTCCCCCCCCGCGCCCCGCCCCGCCCACTCCCCCTCCCGCGCCCCGCCCCGCCCCGCCCCGCCCACTCCCCCTCCCGCGCCCCGCCCCGCCCCGCCCCGTCCGGAGCTGCGCGCGCACCCGGCGGCGGGCGGGCGGTTGGCGGGGCGGGCGCGCCGGGGGCGGGGCGCCGGCCGGGCGGGGCGGGGCTACCGTTGCGGGGCGGGGCGGCGCCTGCGCGCTGCGCGGCCAGCGGTTTCCGCCCCCAACGGCGCCCCGGAGGCCGCGCCGTCCCGCTGGGCGTCGCCCGCCCCTCCGCGCCCTCGGGCCGCGCCGCGCGCCCCGCCGTTGGCCGGCATGTCGGCGCCCGGGCCGCGGGAGGCGCCGCAGGCGGGCGGGCCGGCGGGCCCCGAGGGCGCGGACGCGGCGCCGGGCGAGGCGGGCGCGGCGGCCGACCTGAGCCTGGTGGAGATGACGGAGGTGGAGTACGCGCAGCTGCAGCACCTGCTGTGCGCGCACCTGGACGCCGACGCCGAGCTGGACGCGCGCCTCGGCCCGGCCTTCCTGGCGGCCGCGCCCGGGGCGGGCGGCGCGGGGCCCGCGGCGGGCGCGCCGCTCTTCCCGGTGCTGTGCCCGCCCGCGCTGGCGGACGGCGGCTTCGCGGGCGCCGCGCCCTGCCTGGGCCACGTCGACTTCCAGGAGCTGCGCATGATGCTGCTGAGCGAGGCGGGCCCCGCCGACCGCGCGCCGCCCGCGCCCGCGCCCGCGCCCGCGCCCCCCGCGCCCGCCCGCGCCCGGCCCGACGCCGCCTGCAAGGAGAACGCGGCGGCCGACGCGCCCGAGGCGCGGGCCAAGCCGGCCGTGCGCGTCCGCCTGGAGGACCGCTTCGGCAGCCCGGCCGAGCCCGCGCCCGCGCCCGCGCCCGCGCCCGCGCCCGCGCCCGCCCCGCGCGCCGCCGAGGCCCCCGAGCCCGGCCTGGCGCTCGGCAAGTGCGTGCGCCCCGCGGCCCCGGGCGGCGCTGCGGGGAGCGGGGGGCCCCGGGGGCGGCGCTGCGGGGAGCGGGGGGCCCCGGGGGCGGCGCTGCCAGGGAGCCTCTCCTCAGAGGGCAGCTCTGCCGGGGGTCCTCCCCCCAGGGGGTGGTACGGGGGAGTGGGGGCCCCCAGAGGGCAGCTCTGCCAGGGGGCAGCCGCCCTCCTGGAGGGAGGACAGGCCTTTTTCACAGAGGGCGGGCGGGCGGGCGCCGTCCTGCAGGGGGACCCGGGACCAGCCAGCCGCCCGGCCCTCACCTTTGGGGTGCTTTGTCTCGGCAGCTTGGTGACCCTCATTCGGCACCCGTCGGAGTTAATGAACGTTCCTCTGCACCAGCCGCAAGGCAAGTGCACGACGCTGGTGAAGAACAAGACGGCCGCGGCCACCGCCGCCCTGCAGTTCACCTACCCGCTCTTCTCCGCCAACGCCTGCTCGGCCGGCGGCGCCTCCGGCCTGCCCCAGGCTCAGGTGGGGCCCGCGGCCCGGGGTCGCCCTCCCGGCGGGTGGCTCCCTGCGTGGAAGCGGCGGCGTGGCTGCGGCGCGGCGAGGACGCCGGTCACGTGCCGAGGCCATTCTGCTGCTTCGCCTTTTCCAGAGTTCTGGCAGCTCGTGCTCCATACTCGAGGCTGCCAAGCACCAGGACCTCGGGCTGCCCAGAGCGTTTTCGTTCTGCTACCAGCAAGAGATCGAGTCCACCAAGCAGGCTTTGGGCGGCAGGAACAAAGCGCTGCCCGAGCAGGTTTGGATTAAAGTGGGAGGTAAGCCACGCAGCAGGGGCCGGGGCGGCTTCCGGAACGGGGGCGCGAGCTTTTGTCTGGGGCCCTGCCAGCCTCCCCGCAGCCCCATGTGGACACTCGCTGCGGGCACGGGTCGGGGCTGCTCTGTTTTAGGGCCTACAGACACAGGGAGGAGCCCCCGCCACCGGCCTTGGCAGTGCTGTCCATCAGCCCTGTCAGTTTACACTTGGAGGGCGAGGCGGGGCCCGGAGCTCGCAGCCCCAGGAGACCCTCCCCAGGGCCAGGGTTGTGCTGGGAGGGTGAGACCCTGGGGGTTTGGGAAGCTTCCGAAGTGAAGAAACCGCCAAAGGCGAGCTCGACGTACCCGGACAGGACCCCTCGGCCCCTCTCTCCTTGCAGCCAAGTCCCCTTCAGTCGCTCAGACGCAGCAGCAGCGTCCCCCCAGCTTGGCAGGGGCTGGGGGTGTGGAGGGAGGCCGCTCCTCCCCCAGGCCGATAGCTGCTGCTCCCCTACTCGGACGTTTGGGCAAAGGCGGGTGTTAGCGTCTGTGAGGTCAACACCAGGCCGGCGCCTGCGCTGCCCTCCTGGGGGGCGGCTGCCCCGGCGGGGGCCCACCTGTGGCCGCCTTTGCCCTGGGCACCCCGGGCCTGCCTGTCCCAGGCGGAGGAGGCCTCTGTCGTGCTGCAGCGGAAATGCTGCGGGCAGAGTCGCTGAGGTGAGGCTGCCTTGGGCGTGCGCCTGTCCGGAGCAGCCCGCGCGGCCGCTGTGGTGTTGGTGTGTGTGTCAGGAAGGCCTTTCTGAGAAGAATTTGCAGCTTTTTTTTTTCCGCTTTGAAATCAGAAATCTTGAGCAGCTTCTTGGTTTCTCTGTTCATCCGGGACAGTTGGCGCGCGTTGATTAGGTAGGGGACTCGTGACAAGGTCACGCGGGTGACTCGCCCGGGGGTCTGCGTAGCAGTGGGGCTGCCGGCGGGCGGGCAGCCTGGGCCCAGGCGCCTTCTTGCTGCTCAACAGCTGGCGATCACTTTCGGCGCTCACGGGGTCCGTGTTACAGAGAATGAAAAATTAAAATACCGTGTTTTCCTTCTTTTGCAAAGAAGAAGCGCTATGTAAACAAGCAATAAATAAGAGGAATCGGAGTAGAATCCGCCAGCTGGACACAAGCGTAGAGCGAAGGGCCCTTGGAGAGATTCAGAACGTGGGCGAAGGCGCCCCGGCCGCACAGGGCGCCTGGCAGGCGGCGGAGGCCTCGCAGTCCAGCCTGGGGGAGCAGAGCCAGAGCGGGCCGCAGGGAGGAAGGTCCCAGCGTAGGGAGAGGCACAACCGCATGGAGAGAGACAGAAGGTAACGCTCCGGGCGCCAGGCCCGCCGCCGGCCGCGCTGAGACTCGGCCTGGGCCGCGCCAGCAGGAGCGGGCCAGCCTGCCGCCAGGCGGAAAGGACGGGCCGGTGCTTAGTGTTGCTGGCCGGGCCAGCCCCGCCCCCAGATTGGAGGATTCCTGGGGACTGATTTGGTCGTGGAGAAGGGACAGGCAGCATGAGCAGAGACTTGGGGAGCAGCCCAGGGTGCGCCCGACTGGGCCGCCCTGGCCCTCCCTCCCTGGCTCCCAGCCGAACCCCAGACTTCCAGAAGGAAAGTGGCCGCGCCCGGAATGGCCCATCTTGTCTGCCCAGAGGCCTGGGGCGCTCCTGGCCGACAGTGGGGAGCACCCCCACCAAGGAAGTCTTAGGCTCCTGGTGCCAGTCAGGCCCCCACGAGCGGGGAGAGGCACGCGCCGCCCCTGGGTCCCACTTGGCTGTCAGGTGCGCAGGAGGAGGAGGAGCTGGCGCTGCCGTCCATCGCCGCCCCGTGGCCTTGCTGTGCGGGACAGTCGAGCTGGCCGGCCGCACTGGGGGACTTGGCCAGCTCTGTTTGGGGCTCAGCCCAGGGCAGCGCAGTCGGCCCTGGCGCTGCAGGGGCGGCACGTCCCTCTGGGAGGGCTGCTGGGCCCGCCTGAGCCGCGGGTCCGGGCCTCCTTCCTGCCTTGGCCTCTGTGTGTCCTGAGCATTCACCGGGCGCCCGCTGTGCTCTGTGTGGGTGGTGAAAGTTTGCTTTCTCGCTCTGCCACGCGCCAGTTCACCGCTCCCTGCGAGCTCGTCCCCTCACCCCGGGTCCCGGCCGTCTGGCAGCTGGAGTTGCGCGGGCGCCGTGCCCAGGGCCCGCTCTGGCCACTCTGCACGGCTGTCCAGCTGGCCACAGCTGGAAGCATGGCGAGGCGTGCGTGGGGGGACGGCGCGGCGCTGGCCGGTGAGATGGGAGGCCGCGGGTGGTCTAGCGGCCAGCACCGGTCGGGGCAGTAGCGGGCAGGCTCGGCCCCGCTGCCCGGGCCTGGGGCAAGCTCCGCGCAGCTGCGGGCTGAGCGCTTTGGCGGGCCCCACGCACGCTTCTGCCTGCAGTCTCGGGGTTTGGACCCGGCCTAGCCTGGAGACTTCCTTGCTCCTGGCCTGTGAGAGGCAAACAGGGAAACTCCCCAGGGGCCGCGGGGCGTGGCCCTGAGGGCCGCAGCGCCGGGCCCGGTGACCCAGACCTCTTGGCGCCGTGTCGGCGTCCCGGCTCGGCTCTGTGTGACGCTTCGGGTTTGGTCTGCAGGCGCAGAATCCGCATCTGCTGCGACGAGCTGAACCTGCTCGTCCCGTTCTGCAACGCCGAGACCGACAAGGCCACGACGCTGCAGTGGACCACGGCCTTCCTGAAGTACATCCAGGAGCGGCACGGGGACTCTCTGAAGAAGGTGGGTGTGCCGCGGGCGCTGGCCCGGGCCCGGCCGGGGTGAGGTGCTGTGGCCGAGTCGCGCAGCTCTGCTCCCCGAAGGCATGGCTGGTCGACGCCAGGGTCGGGGCCACGGCCATCCACAGCCTGCGGCCCGTGCCTGCCCTGGCGGCGCTTGGAGCCGGGCTTGAGGCGCGTCGGGGGGAGGCGGTGAGGCCGGAGCGCGGGGAGCAGAGTGAAAGCGGCGTTTAAAGCTGACGCGGGTTAACAGTCGGGACGGCGCTGCCCCGAAGGCGGGGACGGGGTGTTCCCCGGTGCTGGGGGACTGGGCCCGGCTGGTGCCCTGGGGCGACGGAGGCCTGGGAGCCAGCTGCTCCTGGGGCCCCTGGGAGCGAGGCCCTCACCGTCCGCGCCAGGCTGCAGCCGGCCGGTGGGGCTGGCCGTCTGCGACGGGCACTGAGCGCCGCCTGCGTGGGTGCGGGGCCCGGCCTGCGCTCTGCCCTTGCTGCTGGCGGACACTGGTGCCCGCGCGACGCTCCTGTCCTCCCCGTGCGCTCAGGCGACTCTTCCCGCCGGGCGGGGCTGGGCCTGCCCAGCCGGGGCGTCTGGTCCAGGAGCGGCCCCCGTCCTCTGAGTTCAAGGTGGTCGTCGTCACAAAGCCTGCACCCGGCTGTGCTGGGGAGAGCGCGGCTGGGCCTGCTCGGTGCCGGGGGCTCGTGGCCCGTGTTTCATTTTCCCTCCTCTGCCCCTCGCTCCCCTCCGGCCTGTCGCTCGCCTGTGATCATTTTGCTTTGTCAGTTCCTGTCTGTTTGCTGACGCCCGTCTCACCCACGGGCACCTAACGTGAAGCGCCTGTCCGCCGCCGCTGCCCACAGGCCCCCCCAGTGCCTCCCCCCCACCCCCCGAGCGGCGCCCTTGGTCTTCCCCGGGACGACCTGCCCGCGGCGGACAGACCTCCGGCCCGGCCCCCTCCGCCCGCGGCGCGGGTGACCCCTGTGGCCCCGGCCGCTCGGGGCGGTGATGGCCTCGGTCCCGGGTCGCTGCCCGGAGGGGGCGCCGGGCCGCCCGGTGGCTCCAGTCTTGGGCGTTGAGGTAAATCCAGGTGGTCCCACCCGCGGTGTCTCGGGTGCGCCCCGGTGAGTTGTCTGTCAGGGTTTGTGGCCCGTTCACGAGCCGGGCTGCCGGGGTCTTGCTGTCCAGCGGAGAGCTCGCCGTGTGTCTCGGGCGCTGACCGTCGCTTGCGCGGCGCGTGGTTTCCCCCCGCTCGGCCGTCCTGTCAGGCTGCTGTTCTCTTCCTTCCGAGGCCGTCCCGGCCGCTCGTTTCATTTCACCGGAGAGCGGGGCTTCGCCCTTGTTCCCGTGGCGTCACCTCTGGTTACGCCGCCGTCCCCCTACCGCTCTCTGCTCGAGGCAGGCCCCTGGGTTTAATAAAGCAAGAATTTCTATTTTTTAAAACGACTGATCGTCTGGCCTGTGTCCCGTCAGCGGTGAGTCCTCCGCCCGCGGCCGCGTCCTTCCAGCGCGCCGCTTCTCAGTGAGAGCTGCAGGCGCGGCGGCTCTGCCACAGGCCCGGGGGAAGCGGCCCGGCCGTGTCCTGCCGCCCCCGGGCCCTCAGCCCCCAGGGGTAACCGCTCAGAGGCCGGGGCTATGCTTGCCGGGCCGAGCCTGTGGCGCTGGTCTGTGTCTCCCGCCCGCCAGCCCGGCGCTTCCTGGCGTCTGACCCAAACCCCCCACTGAGGCAGTTTCCTGCCCGCTGTGGAGGCCACCTGGGCCGACAGCCTCTCGTGGGGTTGCGATAAGTGGTAGGGCCAGGGTCCCCGCGTGGGGCCATTTGGGAAGTGGCTCCAGGGACCGCCTGTCTGCAGAATGGCGATTGTTTTCCCGATTCAGCCCGTCCCCTAGGCACAGCCGCCTCGCCAGGTGCATGAGCCCCGGGGGCAGGCGTCCCCCCGTGGCTCCCATGGACGGCGGCTGGACTGGGACGCGGGAGGGGGCCTGCACCCGAGCCCCACCTCCCTGCCCCACCTCCCTGCCTGCCACCCTCGGACGAGGCTCCCGCATGGGTCAGGGGCGCCAGGAGACTCACCCCGAGAACCCCGGGAAGGCTCTCAGCAGTTGGCTGCTGCGGTCAGGACAGGCGCTGGGCAGCGAGGGGCCCAGCCACTGGGGCAGGTGAGCAGGCGTGGAGGTGCTGTCCGCCCGCACTGGCTCTGGGTCTGCGCCCCAAGAACTGAAACCAGGGCCCGAGCAAGTGCTTGCAGGTGCGAATGTTCACGGCACCCCGGAAAGCCTTACTGTCCAGCGGCCGACGGCGCCCGGCACAGCTGGACGCAGGGCCCTGGGGGACTCTGGCCGCAGCAGCGGAAAGTCGGTGCAGGGCCAGGTGCGGGTCCGTGGGGTGACGGAGGGGTGCAGAAGCAGGCGATGGCGCCCCCGCCCAGTGGGCTTGGTGCTAGGGGACGTCCCGAGGGCAGAGCTCGTGACTTTGCCACCGGAAACGCATGTGAACCTGGACCTCGTGACCCACGGATGCTGCGCTTTCGAGAAAGCCGTGTGCACTTGTCACGCCGGCACAGAAACGGAGAGAACGGGCGGGGGCCCACCCCGCACTCCCACCCTGTGACCCCGTCGTCTCTGCACCTCGGAGAGTGCGTCCGGCCGGGGCTGTGCAAGGGCTTGCGCCTCGCGGGCGCCCATCCTGTCGTGCGAGGTGGCGCTGGCCGCGGGCTTGGGCTCAGCCTGACCGGCCACTGAAATTGAGGCCTTTGAGGAAGTGCCTGCAGTGGGGCAGCCGGAAGCAGAGGGCTGAGGTCTGGGCCCTGCCGGCTGGGGTGCTTGCGGGGTGGGGTGTGCGGTGCACGTGCATGTGTAACGGGCGGTGTCGGGGGCTGGGGGGGAGTCCTGCCGTCAGCGGTGGCCATGGTCGCACCACAGTGGGTGCCCCTAGCCTTCCACGCCCGCCGGGTCGGGTGGCCACCATCCATGGTGGCTGTGCCTGCCGCACCGCCCAGAGCCCCAGAGGCCGTGGAGCCGCAGGTGGGTCAGACGCGTGGGCAGCCGAGGCACCGCCGGACGGGCGGGAGGTGAGGCGGCTGGAGGACAGCCTGCGCCAAACCTGTCCCGGCCGCCCTGGGCAGGGCCCAGGCGGGGTGGCGCTGCCTGAGCAGCAGCCCTGCTGCCCAGAGGCCGGACGCGCCGACTCCCGCGGACGACACGCGGACGGCAGCGCCGGGGTGACCTTGTTGGGCTGGCGGCGGCCAGGATGCTGCTTTGTCGTGGTCGTCGGGACTGAAGGTGCCGGCTGAAGAGAGGCCGGGCCGCTGGGCTGGGGCCACGTGTGCGGCCGGCCGCTTAACGCTGCTTTCTTGACTCTAGGAATTTGAGAGCGTATTTTGCGGTAAAACTGGCAGGAGGCTAAAGCTGACCAGACCAGACTCCTTGGTGACTTGCCCCGCGCAGGAGAGTCTGCAGAGCGGCCCCGCCGTGGACATGGAGTGACCGGACCTGGCCCGGGCCCCACAGCCGGGACGCCAGAGGGGACTTTGAAAGCCCATTTTGTGAAAAGATTTATCTAGAACGAAATGCTTGTCCACTCAGGTCCTCAGACCATTTGAGGATGAAGACATCTGGGCGATTAGTAAGTAACTTCTCAATCATCTGTCTGATTCTATCATGTTTTCAGGACATGATGCCTCAAAAATGAACTTCCTTTGTGATTTCTTCAGCCTTACGAGCTACGTAGCTTTCCCTTGTTTTATTCACCTTTCACACACGCCCCTTAGCAGCTGGAACAAGTTAAATTGTTCCCCTAGCAGTAGTTTGGAGCTTTTATTTCGCTTGTCTGTTGCCTGCGCGTGTGGCGCCCGCCCTGTCCCGACCGTGCGCTGGAGGCTCCCGCGGCGTCCTCGGCTGCATCTCCCCGGGGCTGCAGCCCTCGTCCCCTGTGCAGCCATTGCTTCCTGTGCAATAAACGGCAGTGTTTGGAACTGAGCTTTTCAAATGAGTGACTTTATTTATCACGACAGACAACACCGCAGCTGCAGGGGCGCCAGGTCATGGCTGCAAAGGCCGCTCGCGGGCACAGCCTTGGCCAGGGGCGCCCAGCGACTCCGCCCGGGCCCTCAGCCTCGGCGTAAACGCCGTGTAGACGGTGCGGGCTGTGTCTGTCTTGGGCGTCGAGCAGATGCCACACGTGTGCTGGGGCGGCGCACACCGGTGGCCGAGGTCCGTGCGGCCCGTGGCGATGGCGGGATGGCACTGTGGACGGCGGCACGGCGGGTGCTCCGGGGATCGGTGTCCGGTGCTGCCGTCGGGGTGTGGAGGGCGGCCAGGAGGCTCTCGGCCCAGCCCGGCGGCGCGGCTCCGGCGCCCTGTCTCACTTCAGTTATGTTCTAGGAGCTTCTAGGAGCTGACTTTTCCCCGCCCCCTCCTACCACGGCTCCCTGGCAGGCCGAGCTGTCGCAGATGCCCGGGGTCCCCTGAGCACCAGCAGCACCGGGAAGGCCGGGATCTCCAGGAAGGCCGGGCTCACCGAGGGCCCCGTCACGGCCGTCTCTGCTGGCACCAGGGACGCCCTGCGGTCCTGGGACAGAGCAGGTGAGGTCAGAGCGGGGGGTGGGGGATGGGGCAGCACGTCCCTGCCCGGTGGCCCCTGGGCGGGAGAGTGAGCTGCACCCAGGAGGGCCCGGGTGACCGACTATCCTCCCTCCGGGCAGAGCGCTGCTAGCCCCCCCAGGCGACCCACGCTCACTTGAGCTGTCCTGAGACCGAGTCTTTGATGGGCATCCCCAACCCCGCTGACGCCCCTCTGTTCCCAGCCCTGCTTTGTCAGGAGGTGCGGCCTTTGGGACCCAAGAGCGTGCTGGGGCCGACCCTGCGCCGACCCGCGAGGACCAGGACCACGGCGGCGACCGAGACGGCGTACCTTGGAGCCCCTGGCCTCCGTCAGGCCCATCCAGGCCCACGCCAGCTGCGCCCTTGTCTCCTCGGTCCCCCTGCGCCCCTGTCGGGGATGGAACACGCACCAGGTTAGGACCTGGCTCTGCGGGCGCCAGCACCACAGCCTGGCACGGCCATGCCCACCTCCCGCCCTGCTGGCTCGGGGCAACGGCCCCCTCGGCCCGCGAGTGAGCACGGCCGCTCTGGAGCCGGGCCTGGCCGCTCGAGGGGGCTCGGTCTGTCCTGCCCGGCCAGCCTGTCACTGTCTTTGTCGCCCCCACAGCCTGTCAGCAGTGGGCCCTGTGGTGGCCGTAGTCACGAGGCCCGTCGGGGCACTGGAGCTGGCACTGCCCGGCCCCAGGCAGCACCCGACTGCGTCCCCAGCAGGGAGCCTCTGCCCGCAGCCCGGCCTCGTTGCGCTCTGCTACGTGTCTGGAGAACCAATAAAAGTGGTAAATGCCGCCTCCGAGGTCTGTCTCCAGGGCTCCTGCCGAGGGCCCAGCGCGGGCGGAGCGCCCGGTGGCCGCAGCAGCGCCGGGCATCACACTCGGCTTCATGGATGAAGAAGGGGACTCGCGCGGCGACGTCTCCCCTTGACACTTCCGCCCAGAGGTTATTTTCCAAACGGGGAATCACCCGGTCGGGGCTGGACGCCCGGGCCCAGAGCCCGCGTCCGGGGTGTGCCTGGGCCGGCATGCGGCTGCGGGAGGCCGCTGAGGCCCGTGTGTGTGTCCTCGCTCCCCTGGGCGTCGTCCCGGGGGCTCCGGTGCCGCCCGACACCCGTGACATGAGCACAGCAGGAGGCCCCTCAGGGCCCCTCATCTAAGCCGCCTCCTGCTCCCCCCAGTCCCGGGCTGGGCCGTGGCGAGGGGCGCCGAGTTTCCTGGCCTCCACAGCAGACGCGCTCCCGCCACTCGGCACCCCCCAAGCTGGTTCCCTGTGGGCGCCATGGGGCCCTGGCGCCAGCCTGAATGCACAGGCCCCAGCACAGGGCTCTGCGGGCGCCCAGACGGCGTGTGGGCGCAGCGACACCGACAGGGTTGCTGGGGCGCACGGCAGTGGGTGGGACCAGGCCCCCACCCCAGTCCTGGGGCGTCTGCAGGGAGACCGGGCTCTACCCAGGGGTGGGGCTCCCGCCACGGAGGGACTCGCCACTCTCACCTCTAGGGCCGGGGTCCCCCAGCTCTCCAGTGGGACCACGATATCCAGGGGGCCCTCGGGCACCAGGGTGGCCAATGGAGCCAGGGGGCCCCGGAGGGCCGGGGGGCCCCGCTGGGCCAGGCCGGCCGATGGAGCCGGGCGCCAAGGGCTTCCTCAGGTGTGCGGCCAGCTGCGCGACTTGTTCTTTGGGGGAACAGAGGGCAGACGCTCACGCAGGCAGCCTGGCAGGGCGCTGTGCCTGATGCTGCCAGCAGGCGCCAGGCAGGGAACGTTCTGCTGGGCAACGCCACGAGGCCCAGGGATACAGAGGGTCGGGTCCGTTCCCCAGGACTGTCGTGGCCACGAGAGGCCAGACCGGCTGGCGGCGGAGCAAGGGGCTGGGCCCGCCGGGACTCACCGCTGATGAGGCCCCCGCACAGCTCCCGCACGTGCTGCTCGCTGGCTTCCTTCCCCTGGAACGCCCCCGTGAGCCCATCAGCACCTCAGGCCTGTGGGCACCGACCCCCCGCCGAGGATGCCCCGGGTCTGGACAGGGTGAGCCGAGCCCAGCAGAGCCGGAGCCAGGAGACACGCACCGGGATGCCAGGCCTCCCCGTGATGCCGGGCACACCCCGCGGCCCCTGGAGGCCCATGGGGCCGGGGGGCCCAGGGACGCCCTCCACGCCGCTGGTGCCGTTGGGGCCCTGGATGCCTTTCGGGCCCAGCTCCCCTCGGCTGCCGGACTGGAGAGAGCAGGACGGGTCAGGGCCAGCACCCCTGTGCCTGCCACCCGCCGGCCACAGCTCCAGGCACCCACCTCTCCTTTGGGTCCCACGGGGCCGCTGGGTCCCTAGAAACGGAGGCGTGGTGTTGGGCCAGGGGGGTGTGGGGTCCCCAGTCCATGGAGACGCGGGCCGCTACCCTGTCCTCACTTGGTGTTGCTGGGGTGGCCGCCGGCCCTGCTCGGACCCCCAGCACCCAGGGCCCCGGGGCGCAGCGTGGGGGCCAGCCCTCCCGGTCCCCCGGGAGCCAGCGCGGGGCTGCTTCCTGGATGCCCAGAATCCATCCATTGGGGCTGCCTCAGAATGGGCCAAGACCCACCGCGTGCCCTGAGGGCTGGTGGGGGGCCGGGGCTCGCCAGGTTCCATGTTGGGCCCGGCTTGGCCAGTGTCCGGGACAGCAGCGCCTTCCCTGAGACTGCCCTGCGTGTGGCCAGCACCGACGGCCACCTCCCCATGCACAGTGTCCACCTTCAGCTGGCCTCGGCCCTCGGAGACCTCCTGCCCTGCGCGAGCCGGGGGGTACCTGCGCAGCAGGGGACTGGACGCCACACTCACCAGGTCTCCCTTGTCCCCGGGCAGGCCATCGGAGCCCGCGAGGCCCTGCAAGGGACACCAGCGTCACCGGCACCCGCACCCACCCTGGGGCCCAGCTCGAGACCTGCCCCAGCAGACAGGGGCCGCGGGCCAGAGGGGCAGCGCCTGCGTGTGCCCAGGGCGCCTGGTCAGGGCCGCTCCTGCTGACCACACTCACCTGGTCTCCCTTGGGACCCGCGGCTCCTCCCGCGCCCTGGGGGGAGAGCAGGGTTAGGGGGCCGTGACCGGGCAGGGGAGTGGTGCACACCCCCACACGCCTGCCCCATGCCAGCTCCAGACGGCAGCCTCCTCCGCCACGCCTGCGCCTGGGGCCGGGGTGTTCCCCGGAGGCCTCCTTCAGGGTCCTGAGCACCAGGCACCCGGGCCCATGCCAGCTAGCAGTCCCATGTGGGCAGCCAGGCCTTGCCACACCTGGGGATGCTTGGGGTGTGCACGCGCTCCGGGGGCATGGGGCGGCAGCTGCTCAACCCCTGGCAGCGTGTGAGCACAGCAGTGGGGCGTGCGGGAGGACGGAGCAGGTGGGAGCGGGCCTGGTGTCGCCGGCCCCAGCCCTGGCATTTCCTGCCTGGAGGCCGAGAAAAGACCCACTGTCCAGGCCACGGGCCGCCGTCAGGAGTGCCCGGGGGTGCCGGGGCTGCAGATCCACCCGTCCGTGGCTGTCTGGGGCGGGTGTGGCTCGCCTGGCACCCCTTGGGCAGAGGGCCCAGCGGGCAGGCGGGCAGAGCCCAGGAAACCCATGGGGTCTGCAAGGACCTGGTGCGGCATGGCCAGGTCAGGGGACGCATGGCCCGTGTCAGGAGGAGCAGTGCTGTGCGGAGGCCGCTGGAGGCCGGGGAGCTGGGGCAGGGCCAGTGGCTGCCGCGCAGAGGGAGCAGGTAGCCTGTGCCGGGGAAAGCCTCCCAGGAGCCGACAGGTGGGTCCTGGCGCCAGGCGTGGCCGCCCCTGGGGTCTGCGGGGCCTGTGCCCACGGGACGGTGGGGAACCCCCAGACACTTACCCTGTCCCCCACGCCGCCTCGGAGGCCCTGCGGGCCCGGCAGGCCGGAGTCCCCCATGCTGCCCTTCCGGCCCTGCAGACAAGGTCCAGCTTGTCAGCACCCACAAGGGAGCCCAGGGCGGCCAGCCCCGCCCTGCGGCCCGCTGGACCCCGGAGCCTCACCCTCACTCACCTGGAAGCCGCGGACGCCGGGCGTCCCAGGAGGGCCTTGTGGGCCCAGAGGCCCCTGGAAGACACACGAGGGCCCGAGTCCCGCTCCACCCCGGAGGCCAGGGCGCGGTTGGGGTCCCCGAGGCACGCCCAGCCCTGGACTCACGCCCGCCCCCACCAGGGCTGCGGCTGCAGAGTTGCCCCCTGTCCAGAGGGGCTCCGAGCCGGAGAGCCCCCGCTCCCGTGCAGGCGCAGCCACAGCCCCTGCCCCTGCCGCGCCCACTCACCGCCGAGCCCCGGTGGCCAGCCTCGCCGCGCTCCCCAGCCTCGCCGGCGACTCCCTGCACACAGAGGGGCGTCAGCAGGACCCGGGGCGCTGGGGGCGGGGGGCGGGGGCTGCCATACTCACGGGCACGCCGGGCTCTCCGGAAGGCCCCGCCTCGCCCAGCTCTCCGGCTCTACCCTGCAGGGAAGGGGGCCTGAGAGCCGCGCCCGCCCGCCCGCCCGCCGCCCTGCCCCCGCCCGCCCGCCCTTCTCCCCACCTACCAGTTCTCCCTTCTCGCCCTTGGACCCTGCTCGTCCAGGGAGGCCCTGCAGGACAGAGGTCGGGGGCAGAGCTGCCGGGTGACAGGCAGCAGCAGCCACGGGCTCGGGGCCCAGCAGGAGCCCGAGGACCCGCGGACTGGCCAGGAGGCCTGCTTACCGGCAGCCCGTCGGGACCCTTCTCTCCAGGGGCTCCGCCACGGCCTGCTTCTCCCTGTGGGGGGATGGGCGGGCCGAGCTGGAGGCTGCCTCCCTCCCGGACCCCCCTTGGCCCGGCCAGCACCAACCTTGTCGCCATCCAGTCCAGGCACGCCGTCTCGGCCGTCCTCACCCGGCAAGCCCTGGGGACCCGGCCCGTGAGAGGCGCGTCCTGTGGGCCCCCCACGCGCCCGCCTCACACGGCCTGCCCCCCACCAGGGGCCCTGGACCCCCCGGGGCCCCTGAGGTCTCCTGGCGCAGTCCCTCGGGCTGGCCTGAGGCCACACAGGCCGGAAGGGCTTGTGCTCGGGGAGGAGGGGCGGGGGCAGCACCAAGGCAGCCAGGGGCACCCACCCTCCCGCACTCACCGGCTCCCCGCCTGGCCCGGCGGCTCCGGAGACTCCTTTGAGGCCGGGTCTGCCCTGGAAGACACAGGCCACACAGCTGGGGGCAGCTCCCCCTGGTGGTCTCACGAGCCAGTGCCCCCAACACCGCTGGGCAGGGCTGACGCTGGCCAGTCCAGCAGCCGGGCCGACAGCCAGCCAGGGTCCCGTCCTGGGCAGACAGGTGGCTCTGGGGGTGGCCAGCGGCCACGTCAGCTCGGGCAGGCCACCCGCGTGGGCTCCCCAGCCGCCGCGTCAACCTCTGCTGTGTCTGCTCCGCCGCCGCGGCCAGCTGAGGCCGAGTCCACGGCCAGGCCCCAGGGGCAGCTCGCCCACAGGCATGGCTGGGGAGGCCAAGGCTCGGGGCAGTGGAGGCCTGCCTGGACAGGGGCCACGCTGGACACCCCAGCCCGCCTGCCCACGGCCCAGCATGTCGGGGGCCCCAGGCCAGGTCCTCCCGCAGAAAGACCCCCAGAGAGCCTCCTACTTACAAGGTCACCCTTGGGGCCTCGGAACCCCTCGGGGCCCCGCTCGCCTCTATCGCCCTGAAACGACAAGGGTGGGGGCGGAGCTAAGAGCGCCAGAAGGCAAGAGGGGCAGCTAAGGGCCCCGAGCCCAGACGAGCTGACCCCAGCGCCTGTCTCCCGCCCAAACACACCCTGCCAAGCTCACCCCAGGTGCGCCCCCACAAGCCCGGGCGCCTGCCCCAAGCGGGCACCGGGAAGCTCAGCCGGACCGGCCGGCAGCAGCCCGCACGTCCCGGTGAGGCAGGGGAGGGGACGGGGCTGAGCCCGCCGGGCCTCCTCCCCCAGACGCACGTACCACTTTCCCGGGTGCTCCTGGGATCCCGGGGGGGCCTCGGAACCCGGTGGGGCCCTGGGGAGCACAGGGGACGTCTGCTCGCGCCAGGAGCCGGCTCCTCCCCGAGAGGCCGCCGCACCCTGGCGCCCCCAGCCCGCCCCCGGCCCGGCAGATGTCACCCCACGGGCCAGACACAAAGGCCCCCGGGCCGGGGGTGGCCCTGTCTGCCGCCGCCGCCGGCCAGGCCCAGGCCACGTGCCCCTGACAGCGCAGGCGGCTCCCAAGGGCCTTGGCTGGCCACAGCCCCAGGGGCAAGCAGTGGGGGGGCACTTACCCGGTCCCCGGGGGGCCCGAGTGGCCCTTGCAGTCCGCGGAGCCCCCGAGGGCCCTGTGGAGAGAGAGCTGGGGAGGCAGGGCCACGTGGGCCAGGACTATGCCTGCGCTAGGGCCCGGCCTCAGGCAGGCTCTGGGGGGGCGGGTGCAGCCCTGGGGCCAGCGCCTCGCAGAGGCTCTGCCCCTGCCACCCGCAGCAGGGACGCTGTCCAGGGCCTCCTCTGTCCTCGCCCACCCAGCCCCTCCCCGCCTCACCTGCAGCCCCATGGTGCCCGGGATGCCGGCGGGCCCCGGGGGGCCAGGGTTGCCCTGCGAAGGAGGAGGATGTGGTGGTGAGGTCAGCCCTGAGCCCTTGGGTCACTGCTGGAGGGTCCCGGGCAGGGGCATGGCCCCCCCAGCGCAGCCCTGCTCTGCCCAGAGGCTGCCTCCTGGCCCTCTCCGTCCCTCTGTGCCCTCCCGCCGGGCCAAGGGCCGGCCTCGCCCCCACGTGGGCCCCAGGGACCATGGGATCCTCTGGGTCTGTCCAGAGCCCACCGGCTCCGCTGCCCGGAGGCTGCGCCGTTACCTTCTCGCCGTCCTTGCCGACCTCTCCTTGCTCCCCCTTGTAGCCGGAGGGCCCCTGAAAACCAGCAGTGGGAGGGGTCAAGCCCACCCCAGCAGCCCAGCCCAGCTCTCCTGGCCCCCAGTGCGGCAGGAGCCAGGCCCATGGTGGATGCAGGGCCGGGCTGGGGAGGGGCCAGCGGGCCGTTCCCGTGACCCATGGTCCCCCAGGCCAGCCCCCCAGGGCCCCTATGTGGGAGGTCGTGGGGAGGTCGGTCCCCTGCTCGCTGGGCCCGTCACCCCAGGACCCACAGCCCTGGGCCAGGCTGCCTCCTGCCAGAGGGTGCCAGCTCTGGGGCCACCCGCCCTGTGCTCACCTTGAACCCTGGCATTCCTGGGGGTCCGGGGGGGCCCGGCGGACAGATGGCCGGGCACTGTCAGGAAACAGAGTGGTCAGTCCGTCCCGGACCAACGGGGGCTCCTGAGCATTCCGTGGCAGGTCTGGCGCAAGGCCTGCCCTCTGCACCTGGACGCTGGTGAGGCCAGCGGCTGCACCGGGGCGTCCAGTTGGGCGGGCTTTGCCTCGGAGCACAGCCACTCCCCAGGGGCCCCAGGGGATCCCAGTGCCAGGGCAGCGGGAGGGCACGGGAGGGCGCGGGCAGGGAGGGGCTCTCTACCGCGGGTCTCAGATGGAGGAGAGGAGCCCCAGGCTGCAGCCCAGGCCCGCCCCCACAACCCAACCCCGCCCTGCCCCGCCCCCGGGAGGCTGAGCACCGCTCCTGACTGTGCTCGGCTCCCCTCAGACAGCGCCAGCCTCTGCGGGAGACCAGGGCAGAGCCCAGTGGCTTGAGTGCCCACCTGAAGGTCCGTGGCGCCTTCGGGCAGGACGCCGGGGTGACCCTGGAATGCAGAGACAGTGCGTCTGAGCCCCCAGGCCGTGCCACCTGTGCCAGCCCTTTACCCCCCGGGCAGCGCCGGCTGGAGGCTCAGCCTGTCACAGCTGCTGGACTCTGCCAGCCTGGGGCTGCGCCGTGATCCCAGGGCCCAGGGACAGGTCGGCCCCACGCAGTCCTCATGTCCCACAGACAATACTTACGGGGGGTCCGGGGGGCCCTGGGGGTCCAGGAAGGCCTGGCAATCCTGAGGGTCCCTGGGGGAGGGGCCACAACTTAGACCGAATGGGACCATCCCATTGAGGTGAAGAAACCCAGGCTGAGCCCTCGGGGACCCCACCCAGCACCCCGCGCTGATGTCCGTGTGTCCAGGGGCCAGTCTGCCCAGGACTTCTCTTCAGGCCCATTACGAGAGCAGGGAGGAGGGAGCAGAGGAGAAAAGGGGGGTCCTGGGGGTGAATTGGGGTGTCCTGGCAGGCGGGGCACCTGTTCTGAGCAGAAGGGTGGCATGGTCACCACTCACCGGGGGGCCTCGGAGGCCAACGCCGCCTGGCAGGCCGCTCACTCCAGCCTCTCCCTGGGGAAGGAAGGGAGGGGTCTGTCCCCCGTGGGCGGGCTCCCCAGGAAGCTGGACCCTGCCCCGAGTCCCCAAGCAGGCGGGGCCTGCAGGGGGGTCAGGCTGCTGTCCCCAGGCCTGCTTTGGGGCACACAGCCCAGGTGGCTTCGGGGGCGCCGCCCAGGGTGGGGGCCTCGCGTGTCAGCAATACTCACGGGGGGTCCAGGGAGGCCTTTGCCCTGTGGAGACAAGCAGGAGGAGGGGACTCACTGGGCTGGGAGGCCCGGCCCTGCCCCTCCCCCAAATCGGTCAGGAGGTGCAAGAGACCCTTCTGGGGATAGGGGCACAGCCCAGGGCCACCCCCAGCAGAGGTCTCAGGGGGTCCCCACAGGACGCCCACTGGGTTGACCCTCCACCTCCTTGTGGGAGGGACGCACTTACCCCCAAGCCGGGAGGTCCCGGGGGTCCCAGACTTCCCTGGGGAAGGAAGACAGGTGTGGGGGGCTGGCCCAGGCCCTCCCCGCAAGCTCCCCCCAGGCCATCCTATGCCTCCCAACAGCCTGTCCCCAACAGCTGCAGGAGCAGCAGGGCTGGCTGCGGGCACCCAGAGCCCCCCAGGAAACCTCCCTGTCGTGAGGGGCCTGGGCGTGGGGCGACCCGCAAGTCTCCCGCTTCCTACAGCGGTTCTGGGCCGCAGGCAGCTCTTGCCTCAGCAGAGCCCTGAAGGCAGGGCGTGTCCCTCCACCCCACCAGGCCTCTGAACCTCAGGGGTGGTCAGCTCTAGGGCTGGGAGGGGGTCAGAAAGGGGCAGCAGCTCACCCGGCGGGGCCACAGGGGCCTCGGTCATCCCCTCAACACCAGTCCTGGTCCGGATGCCAGGGCCACTCTGACCAGCGGTGGGCAGGGCTGGGCAGGCGCGGGTGGGGGCTGTCCGCTCGCCACCGGGGCCTGCGCTCCTGCCCCTCCACCTCATCTCAGGGTGGGGCCAGCGTGGAGGGGTCAGGCCCGGCTGCCCCGGCCAGGACCTGGCCTTGGGCCAAGGCCACCAAACCTGGTGCAGCCGCTTACCCGTTCTCCGGGGGCACCCTTGGGCCCAGGGGGCCCCTCCTTTCCGGTCAGGCCCTGGGGAAGGAGGCGCGAGAGGTGGATTTGAGGGGCCGCGTGGGAAGGACTTCCCGGCAGGGGGAGGCCGGTCCTGGGGCTCCCTCCATTAGGCCGGGCCCAGACATGCAGAGAAGACCCCAGTCTGGTCGCCCATCTCTGGCAGGGGCGCCCCAAAGCCGGGGCCAGGCCCCTAACGCCCCATCCCCCCTGTGGCGGGCTCTGCCCCCCGCCCTGGGCGAAGGCTGAGGGACCCCGCTGGGGGCGCAGGGGCTCTGGGACGGGCGTCCTGCTTGAGTGGGCACAGGGTTAGCCCTGGCCGGAGGCCAGGAGGGCAGCGGTTGGGGGGGCTCCTGGGCCAGCACACTCACGTCTACGCCGGGCAGTCCTGGAAGCCCGGCCTCTCCTGGCCGCCCTGGCTTCCCTGGGCCTCCTTTCGGTCCCTGTGGGGGCAGGGGCGTGAGGAGGGGCCGCCCTGGCAGGCCTTCCTGGCGTCTGCAATGGCCTCCTCCAGCCGGCGCTGCCCGCACCCCAGCCCAGGAGGCTCCATGCCGTCTGCCGGCCCCACCTGCGCCCTCGGCCTCCCAGCCGGCACCAGAGGGTCTCCCTGTGGGGCCCCTCAATTCCTGGGCCTGATTGAGGGGAGCAGGAGCCAGTCCAAAGGGCTCTGACGGGCTGCACGGACCCCCACCCTGGCTGGCCGGGCACGGACCCAAAGAAAGCTCCAGAAACAGACCCTGCCCAGCCGCAGGGCCCACGCCCCTCCCACCTCCCCGCCCAGGCCGCCCCTCGGTACAGAATGACCCTCTGTTCTGGGCGTGCCCCTCCCCCCACAGCCACTCACCGGGGGCCCCGGCAGACCTGGCGGGCCGGCTTCTCCCTGCGGGGGCAGAGCCCACATGAGCCCCAGTGTGCCCGGCCCCAGCACCGCAGCCTCAGCCCCGTCCACACCGGGGGGAGGGGGGGTGTGCGCTGGGGCCGGGCGAGGGGTTCTGCCCCGAGGGCCACACTCCAAAGCCGTGAAGCTTCAGAAAGGCAGCCGTGAGGGCCCCTCTCCCTGGCGGGAGGCAGGAGGTCCCCAGGGACGCCCAGAACAGGACCTCACGCCTCGGGACATGGGGGATGGGGCGCCCCGGCCCGGGGGCCACGTCTGCGGACTCAGAGGGAAGCTGAGGACGGTGCAGGGCCGCCTGTCCGGGGGGACTCTTCCCCCTGCCCAGTCTCCTCAGGTGATCCCTGGGAGGGACCAGGGCCTGGGGCACCCCCGGGGAAGTCCTCCCTGGGGCCAGCGACCCCCCAGCCCCCAAAGGCAACAAGACCCACGCAGAGGGACCGGCTCCCCCACGGCAGGCCCCTCCAGGGACCCAGAGACACGCCCTGTGGCCGCATTTCCAGGCCAAAGACCACTGTGCACCCCACCCCCTTCTGGGGATGTGATCCCTGTGGCGGGTGCCCCAAGAAGGTGCTGGCTCATCGTCCCAGCCTGGGGGGGCTGGGTTTGCTCCCCACAGAGCCTTCCAAGCCCCCCCAGCAGCCAAACTCACATCAATGCCGTCCTTGCCTGGCTTCCCAGGTGGCCCTTGGGGACCAGGGGGTCCTCGAAGTCCCATTTTCTGCAATGGAGAAATGTGGTTAGGGAGCTGCACCCCGCCTCTGGCTGGCCCCTGTGCCGGTCCAGAGCAGCAGTGGGGACCGCCACAGGGGCCGGCAACCCCAGCCACCTCAGGGACCCCCAAAGCCTCCCCCAGATCCTGTCTGGCTCAGACTGCACCCCGGGGAGGGCGAGCGAGTGCGGGGAACAGAGCCTGCATTGTGTCCGCCTGCACCCGCGGGAGTGGGGGCGGAGGGCGCCAGACCCTGGAGGGCGAGGACAACCTGGTCCCGGCAGCCTCTTGGGGGCCTCCCCAGCCCCGGCGTCCCCGGGGACCCAGGCTGCGCCCGCCGGGCACCCGCGCCCCACCGCGGCGGGCTGCTGCTGGGGCGAGAGCCGGGTGGTTCCCCGCTCGCCGCTCCGCGCCCACCTGGGGCGTCCCCGGGGCGCCCCCTCACCTGCGCCGCGGAGGCGGCCAGGAGCTGCGCGAGCAGGAGCAGGACCAGCGTGGGGGCTCCGGCCATGGCTGCGCTGCTCTGAGCCGGCCGCGGGGCGCGCGGGGCCGGGCCGGGCGGCGGGGGCGGCGCCAGCTCCCGCCCAGGCGCACAAGACCCCCATTCAGCAGGGCCCACCGCGCCCGCGCATCCCGGGGGCGGGGAGGGGGAGGAGAAAGAAACCCAGTGCATTTGGGGGGCCAGCCTCCGAGTGAAGTTCCCTCAGGACTGCTGGGCTGCGCGCCCGCGCCTTCTGGAGAAAAGCAGCCTTTTCTGCGCTGCCCACCGTGCGGGAGGAGTCGCACACTGAAGGGGCAGAAGTGGGGGCCGCTCCCCAAGGCCCCTGGCAGACTCAGACTGCCCAAGGCCTGGGAAGCCCCCAAGAGGCTGAGCTCCTGAGCTAGGGTCAGGGTATGTTCCCGCCCAGCCCCGCTTCCCAGGACAAGCCTGGGCCGGGGTGCCCTGTGGGGACACCTCCTGCTCCCTGCAGGAGCCCTCAGCCCCACCTGGCCTACCCTGGGCCAGCCCCCACAGCAGGCCCCACCCACGGGAGCCACGGAGGCCGCGGAGAAGATGGGGCCTCCGGGGAGCTTCAGTCCAGGCTGGTGTGGCTCCCACCACTCCCAGCGGGGCAGCTGGTGGGGCCTCCACACCCTCAGGCAGCTCCAGGCCTTGCACCCAACACTGCTCTAGGACCTGCAGTGCTGCCCCCCCCCCCCCCCCCGGGGCTGTGGGTTCAGGCTCCCAGTAAGGAGTCTGGTGACACAGCCGGCTCCTGAGCACAGGGTGAAGCCACGCTGTGGGGGCAGCGAGTACCGGCGGGGTTCGGAGATGGGTGAAGGGAGCAGGGCCCTCGTGGATTTTTTTTCAGGCTTTTTTTTTTTTTTAAGATTTATTTATTTATGCACACAGGAACTGGGGTGCAGACCAGAGGTGCGGGGGTGGGTGTGTGTGAGAGGACTCCCCAGAGACAGAGTGGGGAGCAGAACAGGCGGATCCACTGAAACCCACTGCTGAGGGGGCAGCGCGGAGACAGGAGAGGTCTGATGCTCCCTGGCCGGGGATCGAACTTGTGCTGCAGAGGCTGCTGAGAGCTTCACAGTGCTGCGACTGAACCCCTGTGCCACCAGGGAGGCCCTTTTCAGGCTTTAATGTTCTCTAGGCCAGTTGTGGGGCAAGCATGCAGGCCCGCTGGCCGGAGGCTGGCTGGGGCGGGTCCCACTGGCCTGCAGGGCTGGAGGCGGGTCTTTACTCTTTCTCTTTGGGCTCTCCCTGGTGCCGAGTCCTGCCTCTCTGTGCTCTCCTCCCCGTAGCTGCTCTACCCCGCACCATTTCTGTCTAAGTGACGCAGCCCTTACAGCCCCGCCCCAGGCCCAGGCGCACCAACTCCGCGCAGGGCCGCGCAGCACCCCAGGTGCCCACCCTCAGGTCCGTGCCCCTGCGCCCAGCCCCCAGCACCTCCTGCATTCCGGGCCCGCAGCCTCACAGCCTGACCACCCCTCACCCGACATGGCCTGTGCAGCGCACACCTGTGGGGCCAGCCCCCCGGGGCAGCAGCTGGGAGGCGTGAGCGGGTCTCTGGGCTGAGGGGCCACTGACCGGCGCGGCTTGCTGTGAAGCGCCTTAGAACAGGCCCACAGCTGTGCGGGCCTCCCCTCAGGAAGACCCCTCTCGGGAGACCCCTGGGGCACTGCATCAGGAGCGCCCCAGAGGGACGTTAATGCCCGCAGCTCTGGCCAGCAGCCCCTCACCTTCTCAGGCCCCCAATGCCACGTCAACCGCGCCCTCCCCAGGGGGAGCGCCCCTCAAGGAGGCAGGGCTTCCTCCTCACCCTCCCCGACGGCGTCGGCTTCTTCCCAGCTTCTGGCCCTGCTAGTGGCTGGACCTTCCTCGAAGGGCGCCTGGCCCTGCCCAGAAGCTCTGCGGGTCATTCTGCAGCGGCTGCAGCGCTGCCAGCCGGCCCCTGCCCCATGCTCAGGGGGGTGAGCGGCGTGGCCCTCCTGTCCTTCCTTGGCAGCCGGGCGGCCGAGCCAACTTCAGGACAGGAGCCCCTCACCCCATGCTGCCAGGCCCGCCGGCCTTCGCCCCGAGATGCCTGGAGCCCAGCAAGGCGTGCTGCAGCCGGCCACGCCACTTGGCACTCAGAGGGGCCCTGGTTCACGCCGCTGGCCCCGCTGCACACCCAAACACACTCCAAGTTGAATGGGTTTATTCAGAAAAGGCCTTGGCACCAGACTTAGAAAATGAGCCCTCGCCCCCACGCCCAGAACCGGGCGGGCCAGCGGCACAGGGGCGAGGCGAGGATCCTGAGTCCCGGCCCAGTGGCCACTGCAGTGGCCGCCAGGGAGCGGTCAGCAGCGCAGGCTGCTGGGTGCAGCGGGCAGCACGCTCTGCAGCCCGGGGCGGGCTGAGCTGCCGCGGCCGCTGCTTTAAGGCTGTCCGGCGTGGGCAGGGGGCTGGGGCTGGGGCTCCGGGCACGCCGCTTCCTCAGGGGCCGCCGCTCCCGCCGGGCTCTGGGGGGCCGCCGGCTCCGGCCCGTCCTGGCCTGCTTCCTCCTCGACCCCCCGCTCGTCCTCTCTGGCCTCGGGGCGGCAGGACTGGGCAGAGGATTGCAGAGGGGTGCAGGGGGCGGCTGACTCCTCAGGACCACCCCCAGGGGCGCCTGGGTCCACCTTCCTCCGCTTCCTCACCTCAGCGGCCACCTTGGCCCCGGGGGGCGGGGGGCTGGGCTCCTCCACTGCCCCGGGGTCCCCGCTGCCAGAGTCCTGGGGCCCTGCGCCGAGGCTGCCCGGACCGAGGGCGCAGCCCTTCAGGTTCAGGGCGATCTTCTCCACGTCGGCCGCACTCTGGGGGGCCGGCTCCCCTGGGGCTTGCTCCGGGCGGCTCAGCTCCAGCTTCCGCTTCTTGGTCTCCTTGAGGCCCTGCGGCTCCGCAGCCTCCTCAGCCTCCTCGCCCGCGTCCCTCTGCAGGGCCCCGGCATCCTGGGGGGACGCGCCTGCGGGCACCCCGTCCCCGCCCCGCCCCCTCGCGGGCCCACCGGCCGGGGCCTGGGCGCCAGTCTCACGGAGGGGGTCCCCGGGGCCGGCCTCCCCCTCCGGGGGCGCCGACGGGGGTGTGCGGGGCAGGGCCGGCGGCCGGAGTCTCCGCAGCTTGTCGTGGGGCCCCCAGACGAAGTCGCGGCGCGGCCGGTAGTGCTCCCAGGCGAAGCGCAGCAGCTGGCGCCGCTGGCGCGGGCAGCGCACGGTGAACACGAAGTAGTCCAGGGCGCTCTGCCGCACGGCCGGCAGCTCCCGGTGCACCAGCGTCTCCTCCAGGAAGAAGCGCGCCAGCGGCGCCTGGTAGCCCTCCAGGCCCAGCTCCCCCAGCGACTTGAGGATGCGCGTGATGCGGAGGTTGTTGTGGCTGTGCCTGCGCGGGACGGAGCCGGGAAGGGCGGCCAGGTGAGGGGCGGAGCCGGGAAGGGCGGCCAGGTGAGGGGCGGAGCCGGGAAGGGCGGCCAGGTGAGGGGCGAGGCCAGGAAGGGCGAGCCAGGCGAGGGGCGGGGCCAGGAAGGGCGAGCCAGGCGAGGGGCGGAGCCAGGAAGGGCGGCCAGGTGAGGGGCGGAGCCAGGAAGGGCGAGCCAGGCGAGGGGCGGAGCCAGGAAGGGCGGCCAGGTGAGGGGCGGGGCCAGGAAGGGCGAGCCAGGCGAGGGGCGGGGCCAGGAAGGGCGAGCCAGGCGAGGGGCGGAGCCAGGAAGGGCGGCCAGGTGAGGGGCGGGGCCAGGAAGGGCGAGCCAGGCGAGGGGCGGGGCCAGGAAGGGCGAGCCAGGCGAGGGGCGGAGCCAGGAAGGGCGGCCAGGTGAGGGGCGGGGCCAGGAAGGGCGAGCCAGGCGAGGGGCGGAGCCAGGAAGGGCGGAGCCAGGAAGGGCGAGCCAGGCGAGGGGCGGAGCCAGGAAGGGCGAGCCAGGTGAGGGGCGGAGCCAGGAAGGGCGGGCCAGGTGAGGGGCGGAGCCGGGAAGGGCGGCCAGGTGAGGGGCGGAGCCGGGAAGGGCGGCCAGGTGAGGGGCGGAGCCGGGAAGGGCGGCCAGGTGAGGGGCGGAGCCGGGAAGGGCGGCCAGGAAGGGCGAGCCAGGCGAGGGGCGGAGCCAGGAAGGGCGGGCCAGGTGAGGGGCGGAGCCAGGAAGGGCAGGCCAGGCGAGGGGCGGAGCCAGGAAGGGCGGGCCAGGTGAGGGGCTGGGAGGGCAGTGCAGCTGAGGGAGGCTGTGTGTAGGGTGTCCCTGCCGCCACTCTGGCCCATGCCCTGCACCCCCAGTCCCGGAGAAGAGCCCCCTGGGCCTGACGGTGGTGGGGGGGCGGTGAGGCATCCTCCAAGGGGTGACAGCCAGAGTCCCAGGGCCTGGCGGTGCGGCTGGAGGAGCAGGGGCCCACCACAGGGGCCCCAGTGCAGGGTGGGGGGCTGCACCGTTAGCAGATGCCGCCCTTGCACCCTTCCCTGCGTAGGGAGAGCACGACCCTAGCTGGGGGGCCACTTCACCCCTCAGGTGGCGGGGCAGGGTCCCATGCGTCCTGCCCTCCTCCCTGAGGTGGCCCATCCGCCTGGACCCCGCGGGCTGTCCTCCCCAACCTGAGCAGGGCGTGCAGACCCGGCCCGGGGGCAGGCGGGGCTTGAGGAGGGTGGGGCGCAAAGGCCTCACCGGTTGAGGTTCTGGAAGCGTTTCTGGTAGTTCTGCGCTCGGCAGACCTGGCCGGTGCGGTGGTCCTGGAGCTGGATCCCGTAGAAGCCCAGCATGAGCTCGTAGGCCTGGACCAGCCGCCGCCGGACCTCCTTGGAGCTTTTAAAAGCCTGAAGAAGCAAGTGGAGAGCCTGGTGGCCACGCGGACACGGGCCCGACTCAGCCAGATCGAGGACTCGGCCGTGTGGGGAGGCGTCTCCCCGCCCCCACTCGGGCGCCCAGGCCGGGCCGAGGCAGGCGTCTCCTCCAAGGCCCGCAGCCCGGACGCCCCCCACCCGGGCAGCGCTGGGAGCTCACCTCCACCTCCTGCAGCGTGAGGGGCTTGGCGTGCCAGTTCACTCCCGGCTCCCGCAGAGGGAACAGCCTGGGGAGAAGGGCCGGCGGCATGTGGCAGGGCCGGGCAGCCCAACCCCCGGTTCCCGCTCAAGCCTCAGGGCCACAGGTGGGCCCTGCGCCCCCTTCGAAGGCTCTCTCTTGCAGACGCGTTCAGCGCCGCCCCACCCGGCCCTCACAGGCAGGCTGCCGGCAGGGGCCTAAGGCAGCTGTACCCAGGGGTCCCCCGTGCCCTGGGAAGCCTGTCACCGCGCCACCCACGTGGCCTCAGCTCCCGCCCCACCTCAGGACAGGCCCAGCACCTCGCCCTCTGCAGGGCACACCTCACCCTTGGCAGCTGCCCCAGGTCTGGGCTGCAGCCCCCACCCCGGGCTGGTGGGCCATGGAGGCCTTCGGGAGTGTCAGGGCGCACGTGCCGGGAAGCGCGGGGCCTCACCACTGGATGTAGGAGTGGTTGTCCTCCAGGCGGCCATAGTCGTCCCTCCAGTGCTGCAGGAAGTCCTCGATGAGGCAGCCTAGGCCCGGGAGGGAAGTGGGGCTGCCAGACCGCACCGCAGCGGCCCTGCCCGCCCTGCCCACCCCGCCCGCCCCTGGGGCTCACACCCTGGAAGCCACCCTCTCTGCTGATGACAGCCAGCCTGCTGGCCCTGGAGGCCCAGACTCACACCCTGCCTTTGGGGAGGGGCCTCGCTCTCCCGACAACCAGCAGAGCCTGCAGCCAGCCCCCGCCCGCCCCTGCTGGGGCCGCCACCTCTGCGCTTGCCTGGGGCGGGCGCGCCTTCCCAGCGCCCCCAGCTGCAGGGCGGCCAGGCACGCACCGTTGGGGAGGAAGCAGGTCTCGTTCCTGTAGAAGCTCAGGTTGGGCATGTCCTCGTCGGCCTCGCCTTCCACCAGGTCCTGCCGGGCCAGAGAGGCGGCGGCTGGGACACTCTGCAGGCCAGCACCACCCTCCCCTCCCCGCCGATGGGGCCAGGCTGGGAGAGCCCCTCTGTCCGCACCCCAAAGGCAGCACAGGGGTTGCCCGAGATCCCGGGTGCAGAGGGCAGGGCTGGGGGCAAGGGAAGCTCGCGGTGGGCCGCTGCTGGCAGGCCCGGGGTGCTGACGAGGGGCGGAAGGGGCAAATGTCCAGCTGGCTCCTCTAGACGGCGGGCAAGAGGGTTTCACCCAGGCAGGGCCACGTACCGGGTAGCGGTGCCGGTACCTGCACGTGTCCTGCATGGCTCGCCAGTTCCGGGCCCCTGTCGTCCTGGACTGGGAGGGGAGGGCGAGGGGTGAGTCCCCGTGCTGGCCAGGGCAGCCGGCACCAGCCGGCGGTCAGCCCTCCAGGCCTCAGGACCTGGTAGACATGCGCTCGTGGGGTGCAGCCTCCCTCAGCTGCCCCCTCCATGTTCGCTGCACCCCCCCTTGTAGCCCCTCAAGCCCCTCAGCTGTCCCCCCAGCTGTCTGATTTCTAAGTCATGCTCTCGCCAAAGTCCATCGAGAAACTGAAACTCAGCGGCCAGGCCCTGTCCCGGCCACTCCCTCTTCCTCCTGGGGCAGGCGTGGCTCTGGGTGGCCCGAGACCATGGGCCTGGACACACCAGGCGGCCTTGCCAGGCCCAAGGGCTGGCAGTCGGGGAGGCGACCAGAGTCCGAGGGGGGGCTGGGTCTTGGTGGAGGGTACCCGCGGGGTGCAGTGCTCGCTTCAGAGGAGCACCTGGGAGTCCCCGAGCCGGGGCAGCCGCAGCGACGCCCGGCCCGGCCCACCGTGCCAAGCCGTGGACCCTGCCCGCAAGCGCCAGGCTGCTGGGGCCCACGGCCTCCGGGAGAGCCACAGGGCACGCCAGGTACCTCCCCCGAGGGCCAGGGGCTCCCGCAGGTGAGGCGCTCGGAGGGCGCCGGGGCTCGGCCGCGGGGCGGCGGCAGAAGTGACCGCTGGGGGCGGCGGCCGCACAGCAGGGCGGGCAGGGCCGCAGGTGCCCCGCCGAGGCGCCCGCACGAGGGGCGCGCTCGCCGCGGGGCGCAGGCTGGGGGCTCCGGGCGGCGGCCTCGCGGGTCTGGGGCGCGGGTGCCCCCGGCGGCGGCCCTCGAGGAGACCCACCCCGGCGCGGCCCGGGGGTCCCGGGGGCGGGGGGCCGGGCAGGCTGGGCGGCGGCGCGCGGGGGGCACCTGGGGCGCGCGGGGCCGCGCCCCGTCCTCCGCGTCGGCGTCCTCGTCGTCCGCGTCCCCCGGGGCGCCGTCCCCGCCGCCCCCCGCGTCCGGGCCCGCGTCCTCGTCGTCGTCGTCCTCCCAGGTCGAGTCGCGGTCCGGGTCGTCCATGCCGGCGGCGCGGCGGAAGCGAAAGCGAAAGAGGAAGGAAGCGCGGGGCGCGGGGCGGGCGGGGCGCGGGGGCGGGGCGCGCCGGGGGCGGGGCGGGGGCGGGCGCGGGGCGGGCCGGGGGCGGGGCGCGGGAGGATGCCCCTGGGAGGGCCCCCACAGGACGCCCCTGGGTGGGCCCGCCTGCGCGCTGTCCCCCAGCCGCCGACCAGCCACCCCTCCGGGCCGCCCCGGGAGCGGCTCTGTGCTCCGCCCACCCACGCGGGCAGGTGTCCGGCCAGCGAGGCCAGGCCCCACGGCGCGCCCCGGCCATGCGAGCGAGCGCCCTGCTCAGCTGCTGCCTTGGACACCGGCCCGGCGGCCCCGGGGCTGCGGCTCCATCACAGTTGCCCAAAGTCCGCTAAGGCCCGGGTGACGTCAGACTTGGCGCGGGGTGCTCCCGGAGAGCCGCGGGGGCAGGACGGCAGTGGGATGGCCAGGGCCGCGCAGGCCTCAGCAGGAGGCTGGGGGTCCCCAAAGAGCAGGACCAGCAGTGGCATCTGGCAGGGCCAGGTGGACAGTCTGCCCATGCCGGGCAAACCGCAGGCCACTGGCCAGAACCTTCCCCTCCTGTCAGTCCTGGGCGCAGCGCTCCGTGCAGCCAGGCGGCCTCGGGGCCTTTGGGGCAGACCCCACTCAGCTGCAGGAGCAGGCCGCACACAGGTGCTGAGGCTGCCCCCACGATCCTGGGATTTTTGGGGGCATTTTATTTATGGGGGCATTTTCCTAAGGCCCATGTGGCCAGGCCCCAAGGCTGGGAGGGCCAAGACACCTGCACGTGGTCAGCTGCATGGCCCGGCCTTTTGGGAGCTGGGCCCAAGGCCGGGAGGGCCGGTGTCAGGGCATGGGGAGCCCGCTGGACCAGGCACGGGGCTGGGGCACACCAAAAAGTGGCCGAAAGGAGGCAGGTTCCCTCCAGGCAAGTGGGGCCTGCGGGATCTGGCGGGAAGGGCTGTCCCAACAAAGTAACCAGCGGCTGTTACTGTTTCAGGTGGTACCTGCAAGCAGGCTGCGCCACCAGTGGACAAACTCCCTGCTGGGCAGAGGGACAGACCCCACCCCCCACCCGGAGCAGGAGGGGCAGGGGAGTGGGGGCACAGGGGAAAGCAGGGGGCCAAGGGGGGCAGTGGGGAGCAGGGCGGGGGAGGGCAGGGCAGTTGCAGAGCCCCGCCATGAAGTGTGAAGATGATCCACAGCTGGTGCCCCCGCGACACGGAAGCTGCCAGAGGGCCTTGGCAGCCACCGTAACACAGAGCATCTCAGGAAAAGGACAACACGGGCTCAGCTGCTGTAGGATTTGTTTCATATAAAACGCTAGTAAAATAGGTCTCTTAAAAATTAAATATCGAAACACCAACCGGATTATATACATCGTTGCAGCACGGCTGCCCGCGAGGGGCAGGGAGGGGCAGCGGTGGCGCCTTGTGCATGGCCGGGGAGGCCGGGAGGGCGGGCCCAGTCGTGCCCACTTGCCGCCGGCTGCCGAGGAGTCCAGCTACCCAGGCCCTGGCCCCTGCATGTGCGGGAGCCCGGCCACACGGTGTCCACACGGGCGAGTCCACCGGGCCGTGGGCCACGTGGAGGCCTCTGGAGTCCGAGGGCCAGCGTGGCCCTGCCTGCCCGGCCAGCCGCCTACGTCCGGCGCCGCTTAGCAGCGCTGGGGCTGGAGGGGTTGCTGTTGGCGGTCAGCACCTTGTCGGTGGCCCGGCTGCGCTTGCGCTTGTCCGCCCCGTCCTTGGCGCCCAGCTCTGAGGAGTTCTTGTCTTTGTCTTTGCTGGACTTTTCTGCAGCTTTCCCCAAACTTCCTGAAGATGGAAAAACTGGGAGACAAAATCAATTGGCTGAAACAGAATATCCAGAATTTTACTTTGTCTCCTGCTCAGACATCAGGCCTGTCCCTGCAAACGTGAGACCCGAGCCCCCACCCCTGCATGGCCACGGCCAGCACCGGGCTCTGAGTGGGGGGGGAAGGGGGGGCGCCAGGCACAGTGGCCGCACCCAAGGGGCTGGGGTGCCTATGGGGCCCTGTGGGGGCGCCACACTTACCGTCATCAGCCCCGTTGTGGGGGTCCACGTCTTCTTTCATCTCCTCTTTCATCTCCTCCTCGATGATGACTTTGCCTGCAGGGGACCAGAGGCCTTTACCACGCTGGCCACGCCCGCCGGGCCTCCCCAAGGGGCCTGTGCCCCACCTGCCCCCACCCTGCGCCATGCACCTCCCTACCTTCTCGGACTTCTTGGATGATTTCTTCTGGAAGGACGAAGTTCCTCTCTGGATTCGGGAATGGGAGGATCTCGGATTCGTGCTGAGGCAAAGAGAACGTCTTTAAATTGAGAAACAAAAAGAGAACGTGCTTCCTGCCGCTAAGTGCCCCTCCGGGACTTGGGAGGCGCCTGCTGCCGCTGGCCCCGGGCCAGAGGGTCAGGGAGGTGGGAACCCCGTCAGTGCGCACCGCACCGCCTGCTGCTCCGGGCGGTCCAGGGACCCCTGCAGTATAAGGCCCCACACTCTGGCATCGGCCCTGGGTGCTGGGGCCCAAGGAGGTTGTGCCCCCTGAAGTCTGGGCCCCGCTGGGAAGAGGAAGGAAGGGGAGAGCGCCTGTCCTGGGCCAGAGCTCGTGGGGCCGGGTGGGCCGCAGCTCCCTGGGTGTCTCGTGGGTCCTGCGACCTGGCAACTGTCCCCCACCACACAGCCTCCCCATTATAGGGCCCCCACAGGCCTCATCTCCGAGTCCTACTGCTGCCCCAGCGGCCACCAGACCCAGACAGCAGCTGAACATGGGTGATCTGTGCACTGCCCGCCTGACCCCGGCCAGCAGAGGTCCCTCCGGGGAGGCCCAGGGTTGAGCCGTTTACCCCGGACATGGCTGCTTTCAGCTGCAGCAGTGGCAGTGGTGGCCTGAGTCCCCATGGTGCTGGCTGTGGCCAGTGGTCAGTGCCCAGCACAGTGTCACCATCACCCCCTTCCTGCACTGCCCTGCAGCAAGGAGGCCCAACGGGGACAGGAAGCCGGGGCAGCCCTGGACACAGGCGATGGGGGCTCGGCGTCCCTGACAGCAGCACCTGGCCCCAGCCCTTTCAGCCAACATGCCCCGCGGTGCATGCCCTCCCTGAGGAACCACCCACCGCCAGGCCCTGCCACCAGCCGCCCCTCGCTGGGCACCGCAGGCTCCTCTGGTGGCCTGGTTGCGGGCTCCTGGGAGCAGGTGGCTCAGGGTGCTGGGGGCCGGGCCCTGCTCTGCCAGCCAAGCCCCCGGGGGTCTCAGCCCCATCTCCCCGACAGACAGCCGACCCCCGGTCGCCGGGGTAGCTGCCTGCAGAGTGGCCTGCGGGCCTGGCCGCGCGCCTGGGGGACGCAGGGTCCCTGGGGCAGGCTCTGGGCCAGACCCGGGGCGGGCGAGGCCGGCTCACCAGCGCCTGCATGTCGTACATGGTGCTCAGGTGGTCCCAGATGACCTTGGAGGGCACCTGCCGGCCGATGTTCTGGCTGAACTTGTCCCTGATGCAGATCATGTGGAAGTGGCGGTTCACGCCTGCGGGGGAAGCGGCGGGAGGCGCGGGCGGGCGGGACGCGGGCGGGGGGCGCGGGCCGGGGGTGGGGTGTGGGGCCGCCCGCCGCCCGCCGCCCGCCCCGACGGTTGCCCGCGCCCCGCCCCCACCGGCTCACCGACGGGCTTGTGGCCCAGCATGGCGTGGAAGAGGCACACCTCCACCTCGGGGCTCCACACCACCGTCTCCTCGGCCGGGCTGGTGGCCGCCTCCCCCGGGCCCTTGTCGCCCGCCGCCCCGCCGCCGCCCACCTCCGCCTCCCCCATGGCCGGCCGGCTGCGACGAGCCCGGTGGGAGCGGGCGCGGCCTGGGGCTCGGCGCAGGCGCAGTCGGGCGGGCGCGCGCGGCCGGGCCCGCGCGGCGCAGGCGCAGTGAGCACGCGGGCGGGCGGCGCCCCCTGGCGGCGGGCGGGCGGGGCCGCGCGGCGGGCAGGTGTGACGCGAAGGTGGCGCGACGCTGGGGACCCCCACGGAACTGCGGGTCGCGCCCCAAAGAGCGCTGAGGCGGAAAGTACCAGTAACAGACAATCCCTGCGGACGTGCGTCCCGGAGGGCGGCGGGTGCCCGCTTGGCCTCCCGCGCGGGCGCCGCACGGGGCTGCCGGGCCTCGGGGGCGGGGCGCGGGCGGGGCGCGGGCGGGGCGCGTCCACCGCAGTCAACGCCCGGGTATTACTACGGGGCGGGGCGGGGCCTGAGGCGGGGCGAGGCGAGGCGAGGCGGGGCCTGAGGCGGGGCGAGGCGAGGCGGGGCGGGGCCTGAGGCGGGGCGAGGCGAGGCGAGGCGGGGCCTGAGGCGGGGCGAGGCGAGGCGGGGCGGGGCCTGGGCGGGGCGACCCACGACCACGCCCTCCCGCGAGGCCGCGCCCACCGCGGGACCCCGCCCCGCCCCGCCCGCTGCCCGAGCGCCCCCCTCGCGCGGGAGGCGCCGCGGCCCCGGCTCCCGGAGGCTCTGCGGCCGCCCGCGGTGGGCAGCGCCCGGCGCTGGTGCTCCTGGCCTCAGTCTCCTCTCCGCGCGGCGGGCCAGCGGCAGCGGCCGCTCCCGGGCACCGAGGGGGCGGCCTGCGCGCGCCCGGAGCCGAGGCCGAGAGCGCTGCCCCGGGCCGGCGGCCGCCGTCCTCTGCTCCCCGCGGCGCGGCGCGCGGCTCCCGAGCCCCTCCAGGCGGCCCAGCCGGGACAGACGCGGGTCGCGCGGGCTGCCCGCCGCCCGGGCTCTGCCCACGACCCGCCCTCCGCGGCCCTGGGCGCCGCTGGGGCCGCGGGGCAGGGCCGCAGGGCGGCCCGGGAGCGCCAGCGCCGGCGGGGTGGGCGCCGTCCCGGAGCTTCCCGGGGCAGCGGGCTCCGCAGCGAGGCGGGGCGGGGGCCGGAGGGGCGCGCGGCGGGCTGACCCTGACCCTCAGCCGCGGGGGCCGGCGCGGGAGGCTGGAGCCCGGCGCCTCCTGCGCCCGGTGATGCCGGGGGCGCGGCAGCCGGGTCACGCTCCCTGGACACGGGCGGGGCCTGGGGCCGGAGGCCGGCAGGGCAGGTCCCTCCTGCCCGCGTGCATCCGCTCGGCCGCGGCCCCAGGACAGCCGCGCCGCCCACTCGCGGCGGGGGCTCGGCGTGGCCCGGCTCGGGCTCCGGCAACACGCCCCGCCGCTGGGGCGCGCACCCGCCGCCCGGACCCACTGCGGCAGCCCCGGGGCCCCCAGCCCCTGCGCCCCGCGCGGCGCCCGGGCCTCGGCCGGGCCGTGGGCAGTGGCTGAGGGGCCGGGCCGCTGTCCGCTGCCGGAGTCCCCTGGGCCGCCCCTGGGCTGCGGAGCGCGGGCCCTCGGGCGCTCGGCTCCGGCTGCGCCTCGGCGGAGAGAGCCTCGTGCGGGAGCGGCGGGCACCGGGCACCGCAGGGCGCTAGATGGGGAGACCAGGCCTTGGCGTCCCAGGGGTTGGCTCCGAGGAGCAGAGGACGCTCTAGGGCCCGGCATGGCCCGAAGGACCGCTGCGGTGCCTGTCCAGGACTCCTGCACTGCCCGGGCTGGGGGTGTGTGTGAGGGGTGGGGGTTACATTGGGATGGGCCTGGGTGTCTTGGGGTGCCCTCCCCACAGCCCTGACACCCCCTGGAACCCGTCAGGTGCAGGTTCTGCGACACCTCTGCAGTGCATGTGCATGGTCGCTACACCCGCAAGCTTGGAGCACAGCCCGCTGAGCAGCGCCCTCCAAGCCTTGGACCCCTCCACGCGCCCCTGGCCTGCCTGCGCGGAGTGCCACTGGGCGCCTGGCGGAGCTGGGGGCTCTCACTTCCTAGCTTCGTTGGGGAGACCAGGCTCTGGTCTCAGGCTGCCACGGCGGCGCGGCTGTGTACCCCTCGGGGTCAGGGCAGGATCTGCTGGGGGCCTCTGCCAGCGGCTATGGGGTGCGCCCCCCCTGTGACAGCGGGGCCACGCTGCCCATCAGTGAGGGGCTCCCCAGCTGCTCCTGTAACAGCCCCTCTGTGGGGGGAAGCCAAGGCTCAGGAGAGCCGGTCATGGCCCACCACACCAGCTACCCGTGTGACCCAAGTGCCAGACCCCACTCTCTCATCTTCTCTGGAGTGGGGTACCCAATGTTACAGGGCAGGGAGAGGGGCAGCCCAGACCCCGCAAACCTGCCTTTTCCAGATAGGTTCTGCCACCCGCCGCATCAGCACAAAACATACGAGACTTCAGTGGGAAGGAGCTTTAATACAGTTAGTGACCAACACAGGAAAGACAGAGAACCTCGTTTCTACATCAGGTACCCAGAGGGACCCGTCCCCTCGCGGGTCAAAGCCCACCCAAGCAGGACTGGCCCAGAGCGAGGCCCCAAAGCTGCCATGAGTCTAAAGCACCTCCCAGGGGGACCCACAGAAAAGCGTCAGAAACAGACAGACAAGTCTGGGAGGAAAAGAGCCACATCAACGTCAAGACAAAAGCCGCCCTCGCCCCCTCCCCGCGGGTCTCTCCCACGTCGGAGCCGCCCCGTCCACGCCCGCCAGGCCAGCGTGGCTTCTTCACGCGTCTCTCGGCTCCATGCGCCTCCCCCAGGCTCCTTCTGGCTCATCCTGCTCCTTCCTTCTCAGTCTCCTCTGCAGCTGCTTCTCCCTGCTCAGCTCCACCCCCCTTGGGTGGGGCAGGGAGCCTGGAACCTCCCCCTCTCCTGGGGACCCCCCTGTTACACCATGGCACACCCCTTTTCCCTGCTGGGACCGATCAATTTGTCTCCCCCAGCCCCTGGCCCAGTGAACCTGTGGACCAGCCCACAGGGGTCCCCTTCTCCGGAAGGGACGCCCCAACAGGGCAGTGAGGGGGCGCCCGCCCCAGCTCTGATGCTCGAGGACCCATGGGCCCTGTTCTTGGCCTCCTCACTGGGTCCCTGTGGCCCCCCGGGGTGCCTGGAGGTGGGTGTTTCATCGGGGGTGGGCATGAAGGAGAGCCGGGGCTGGGAGAACACCCGGTGGCATCATGTGGGACACTCTAGGTCCCACGTGTCGCGGTGCCTCATGCTGGGAAGCAGAACTAGATCAGCCCATCCTAGAGAGAGGCGGGAGGGCCTTGAGGCACAGGGCTGGGGACCTGCAGGGCAGCTCGCCTCTGGCTGCGGCGGGGGGCCACACAGCCCCCACCACAGGCTGACCTCTGCGCACGGCACTGGCCAGGGCACGGCAGCAGGGCTCTCTCAGCAGGCCGGGGCTCCGTGGAGGCCTCATCCTACCTGCCACCCAGGGGCCCGCCTCCCCTCCCTCTCTGGGTGGCTCCAGGGCTGCAGCAGGATGCCCTGGGGCCGCTCTGTCCCTCTGGGGGTGGCCTGTCTTCCCTCAGAAGGGTTTCCAGTGAGGTGGAAGAAAGTATGGGGGGCTCGAGCTTTGGTTTCTTCCTGCTTCCCAGTCCCCGCCTCACCCCCCCGCTCTTAGGGGCTGCTGCTGAGCAACAGTGTAGCCAGGAGGGTCCCCCATGGACAGGAGGGTCCCCCCCAAAGGAGGGCTTCCTCTGTGGGAGCACTCACCACCGGCACTGGGGCACCCTGTCCCCGGTCCGGCTGGGAGGGTTCCTTTCTAATGTAGACAGATAACCTCGCAGAGCACAGGCGCCAGCAACTGCTGGGGGAGGAACCGGTGATTAAGGGTAATTTAGGCCCAGGAGGCGTGATTGATGGGACAGGCGGGCCCACAATGGGCAGGCGCGGCCTGCTGCTCCTGTGGGACACCAGGGTCCTACCCAAGGGCAGGTGACTCAGACCGGGTGGCTCAGAGGGCCCTGCCTGGCCCCTGCCCGGCTCTCCCTGCCTGCTGCGGCATCCTGTCCCCGTCACGCCAGAAGTGAGCTCCTCCAGCTGCTCGTCCCCGCCGGGTGGCCACCTGAGTGACCCTGGGGGCCGGGGCCTGTGCTCCGAGCCCGGAGATGCATGCAGGGGGTGGGGGGGGGGGACAGGGACATCAGGTGACCCCAGAAGGGGCATGGGGACCGGTGCAGTCGCAGGCCTCCAGCAGCCAGGGGCGCCGCGGAGCTCACCCCAGCACGCCCTTGAGGACCCCACACTCTCCGCCCGGCGCCCAGTGCTCCCGGCCATGTGCCCCTGCTGCCCTCACAGCGCGGTGGCCGAGCTGTGGCGGGGGTGCTGTCCTGTTCCGCGAGGCTGGCCCAGAGCCAGGGGCCGCCACTTCCTCAGGACCCTGCTGGCCCCCTGCGGGCTCGAGGCCAGCTGCGCCCCCCAGCGCGCACCGCGTGGAGCTGCCCTGCTCGTGCCCAGCCGCGGGGGGAGGCCAGTCGGTGGGCTGCTGGGACTGAACCCAGAGGCTGCTGATCCCTGGGGGGACAGCCGGTTCCCGAGCCCCTGGCACTCCCCAGAGGACGGGGAGGGGTGGCAGGTCTGGAGGGCCCTGGTGGGCCGCCCGGGTGGGTGGGCCTTAGGGGCCTCTGTGTTGCACCCAAGGGTGGCCCTCGGTGGGAGGGGTGCGGCATGCGGGGTGTGCTGCGTGGGCGTGTCCACACATGTCTGCAGGATGGTTCCCACAGGCACCCGGCTCTGCTCTGGGCTCCTGGCGCCCCTTGGCCCCCTCCCCGCCCCACCCCCAGCCTGGCCTGGTTTCCATGGAGCCCTCATCAAAATTGGAGCTAGAAGCATAATTGAGGGGGGTGGGGGTGGGGAAGGGAGTGGGGGGCGGAAGGGCCTGGGAGGGGGCAGGCGGGAAGTGGGGGAGGGGTGGAGGGCGGGAGAGGCGGGGAGGGGAGAGGGCGGGGAAGGGAGGGGGCGGGGAGGGAGGGGGTGGGGTCCTGTTCTCAGCCCCGCCCCCCGCGGGGCTGCCGCTGCCTTTCTTTAAAAGCTCTTGAAGAGCCGCTCGCTCTCCGAGTCCTCCTCTGCCTGGCAACGCGGCGTTGCCAGGGCCTCTCCTCGGCAGTTCCCCGTCCGGGCCAGGAGCTGGGCCGGCCCAGCTCAGAGGACCCGAGGGCCGGAGGGCCCTGTGCGGGGCTCGATGCTCTGGCCTCGGGATGGTGGTGCTGAGGCGCAGCCAGGGGGCCACCCTGTGTCCAGCAGGAGTTTCATTCCTTCGGACACTCGGGTGCAGGGCCGGCCACCTCTGGGCGCTTGGTCCCTGTGGTGAGGGCCTGACGGGCCCGGCTTCTGGGCGTGTGAGTCTGCCTGGCACGTCTCTGAGCAGGGCGGGGGCATTGGCTCTGAGGAGAGCAGGCCCAGGAGCCCCAGCGTAGGGAGGCCCGAGGCCAGGGCCTTTCTGGGCCTCCCGCCCCTGCCCGCCCGCCCTCCAGCGCAGGCCCCTCTGCAGCAGGCCAAGCAGAGGCCGGAGGCAGCATGGGGGACCCCAATTAAGGAGGCACCTCCATGGATGGCCCATTCAGAGCCCTGGATGCTGGGCCCCTCAGGTGGGGGGGTAGAACCCCCCACCCTGGGGTCCCCACGGCCCCGAGGACGGGGCTGGCAGGAGCACGGCTGGGCCAGGCACAGACCCCCATGCAGGGAGGCGAAATGGAGCCGGACGGACGCTGTGACCCGGCCCGGCAGACGGAAGGCTGGCCGCGTGGGGGGCAGGGCCTGTTACTCTTAGTGGGTTTGCCGCGCGCTAGAGGTCGGTCAGGAGCCCCCGCGGCCTCCTGCATGGCTTGTCTGCGTCTCCTCTGTGTTTTGGGGGTGAAGAGGCGACTTTACTTCAGAGCAACAGATGGAATCTGCAGGGAAGCGGTGGGGGGGCAGGTGGGGGCAGGCCCGGGCCCCAGGACTCTAGCGTGGGGTCCCAGGACGCCGGGGGACTGCCTGGAGCGTGCGCCCTGCTGGGCCCCACCCCGTCCTGGGCGCTGCGGCTGTCGCGGAGGGGGCAGAACCACCACGCTCTCTCGCCGCTGAGGCGTTTATTGGAAAGAAGCCGGAGCGAAAGCAGCTGCAGCGTTCTGGGGAGGAGTCACCGTCCGCGCCGAGTCGGAAGCCTGCGTGGGAGCAAGGGGAGCCCCCAGGCTGTGTGGGAGCAAGGGGGGCCCCCAGGCTGCGTGGGAGCAAGGGGGGCAGGGGCGCCGCTGTCCGGGGGCAGCTCCTCCGCGTCCCCGACGCCAGGTGCCGCTCTGTCCACCAGAGGCTCCCGGCAGGGGCCCTGGGCGGACAAGTGGGGGCCGGAGTCAGAGCCGGATGCAGCAGGGCCCCAAGCCCCTTCCTCAGGCCTCCCTGTGGCCAGCTCCCAGGCCAGAGTGGGGCTTGGGGGCCACCGGCCTGGACCGGCCCTGGGCTGTGAGGGGTCAGCCCACGCCTTCTGCAGCAGCCCTCGGCTCCAGAGCCATGTCCTCTGCGGAGACCGGGGGTCGGTCTTGCCCACTGCAGGGCATGTGAGTGGGGCCGGCCCACGGCTGGACGCATCTCGAGGGACGTTCGCCACCAGCCTGACCACATGGGCTCCAGGTGTCACATGGGCCCTGCCTGGGGCGGCTGCAGGCCTCTGGCCGGGGTGGCCGGGGCGCTGCCTGCACCCACACGAAGCGGGGCCCACTGCCCGTGCTGTCAACCCCCAACCCCGACCCCGTCAATGCTTCCTTTCTCTGTCGTTTGGGGCTGGGTCCTCTTGCTCACACCAGGCCGGGCAGAGACTCCGAGGATGGCATGATGGGGAAACTGAGGCTCGGGAAGGATGGTGCCTGAGGTCCAGGAAAGCCAGGATGGGGGCCAAGCCCCCTCTCCAAAGCCACCCACCACCTCCGCTAATGTCTGGTGCCCACTCGAAGAGCAGGTCCGGGCTGGCCGAGCAGCCCCCGCCCAGCACGGCGCCTGTGGGGAGCTTTGGCTGGCCTCGCGCCTGGGGTCAGTAGCCCTGGCTCAGGGGGTCCTGCCTGGCCTGAGGACTGGCTGGAGCTCTGAGCCTGCCCCACCTAATGTAGTGGCCGGGGCTCCGACAGAGAGTTGGGGCTTCAATAGCCGCTCCTGGCCATGTGGGCATCCACGCCTGGAATGGCCGGGGCTGAGCCCCGCTGGCGCAGGCCTCAGTGGGCGCTGCCTCCTGGGCCATGTGCCCCTCCAGGGAGAGCAGAGACTGCGCGGCTGCTGATTCCCGGCACCTCCCAGCACTGGCAGCCCAGCTGCGCGGCTGCCCTCCTGGCCGGGGGCCCTCAGGGGCAGAATTAGTGCCCCGTCCTGTCTGGGGACCAGCTTCTGCAGACCAGGGAGGCGCCAGGGCCAGCCGGTGACAGACATTCTGGGCCTCCGCCTGGCTACTGTCCAGTGGGCTGCCTGGAGCCACAGCCCCACATGCCACCCAGTCCCTCGGCCGTGGTGCCAGCCTGGAGCAGCTGGAGGGGGCGCTGAGCTCACAGCAAGGATGGGGGCGTGTGGGGGGCCCTGCCCTGGCCTGCAGCTCTGGGGCCGATCGGATGGCAGGGCCAGCGGCCCCTCATGCCCCACGCTCTGTGGGGCCGGCAGAGCCTCAGCCTGGTGACCAAAGGGGAGGACCGCCTGGTGACCCTTTGTGGGCCTGGGGGGAGGGTGCACACTCCTGGGGGGAGGGTGCAGCCCCTGGACCAGGATTAGGCCTGCGGCCCGGCCGCCTGCCCCTGGCGTCTCCTCGGAGCAGCGCCTCTCCCTGCCTGGTCGTGGTCCGGTCCCTCAAAGTCTCTGCCTTTCCAAGGGAAGAGGAGGGAGGCGGTGGGGGGGCATGGCAGGAGGAAGGGAAGATGGGGGTTTGGTGAGGGGAAGGGGAGACGGGGGCGTTGGAAGAGGTGGGAGAAGCTGAAGAGAACAAGGTCGAGGGAGTGAGGGCAGGTCCTGGCCGGCCCCCACGATTCCAGCCTCCGGGTGGGGGCTGCTGCTGAGCGTTGGGGGATTGGGGCCAAGCAGCCCCCGGCCACTCCGGGCCGCTCGGGCCTCCGGCCGCCTAGTACAGGCTCTCCCGGGTGGCGTGGCTGGAGAGCGTGTGGTTGCTGGACACGCTGTTGGTTTTCCTGGGGAAGGCTGGCCTCTTCCTCCCGCGCCCCCACACAGGGCACAGACAGGCCAGGGTGGACAGGAAGATCTGGCGGAAGTTGGCAGAGACGAGGTTGTACAGGATGGGGTTGATGGTGGAGCTGACGTAGAAGAGCACGTTGGTCAGCATGTAGAAGTAGTGGTAGAAGTCGTAGAGGAACCTGCGCCGGGAGGCAGAGCCCGCGGCTGAGGCTGCAGACTGAGCCCCGCCGCACGCGCCTGCGGCCACGGCTGCTCCGCTCCCTGGGCCCCACCTCGTCCAGGACCCCGCTCCCGCAGCTCCCCCAGGCAGCCTCCCGGGCAGTGGCTGCACCCCGCGGCGGCGGCTCTGTCACCGGGCTGCTCCAGCCGGGCGGCCCGGCTCTGCTGGCCCTGCTCGCAGCCGGTCTCTGCTCCGTGGGGCGCCTGCCCCTTTGTCCGAAGCCCCTCGGGCCCAGTGCTGTGTTGCCGACGGGCTTGCTGGCTCGGCCAGCACCAGGGGCTTAGATTCGGAGGCTCCCGCCACCCCCGATAGGATACTCCTGGCTCTAAATGCTGGACCCTGGCCCTGCCTGGCAGGGGCATCCGCGGGACCTGCCCCTCGTTGCCTGGGGTGCTGGGTCTGGGGGCTTCCCCGTCAGACTGCCTCTCACCCAGGGGTGGTCTGGGGACCCCCCACGCTGCCCCTCCCTGCTCCCTGGCCCACAGATGCCGGGGCTCATCCAGCCTGTGCCTCCCCCCTCTGTACTCACGGGGTCCAGTGCTCTTCCGAAATGTAGCAGAACATGAGGCGCCGCACGTGGTAGGGGAGGAGGCAGACCACGAAGGCCACGACCACGGCACCTGAGACAAGAGGCGGCTCAGACCAGAGACAGGCCGGGCCGGGCCATGGCTGGGGGGCCGCTGTCCTGGCTCGAGTCCCCCAGCCCAATCCCAGCAGCATTTTTCTACTTTTTGCAGAAACATCAGCTGCCCTAAACGTCACGCGGCGTCACGGGGCCTGAACAGCCGCGCTATCTTGGAAAAGAGCCCAGCTGGAGGACTGGCCCGTGCCGGCCCCGGTGGACAGGGGGCCAGTGAGCCATGACAGTGTGAGTGGCCGGGCGGGCAGAGAGCGGGGGCGCCGTGGCCCGGCCCGGCCTCTCCACCCCAGGCCTCTGACCCCTGCTCCACGGAGGGCCTGGAGCTTGAGTCCCGGCCGCTGCCCGCTCCCGGGGCCCCAAGGTACGCACGTAGGACCCGGACACCGTGCCGCAGGGCCTGGACCCTGCCGGGTTCGATGGCCATGCTGAAGGAGCCGGGCTGGTCCCCCATGGTGCACGCCTGGCCCTGCTCCGCTGCCTGGCGGACCATGACGGTCAGCTTGTTGGCGATGATGGTGTTCAGGACAGAGATGGCCACCATAGGGAGCAGGAAGGATGTGAAGGTGTTGATCTGCGGACACAGGAGGGGGCGTGGTCAGACCCCGAGGCCCATCATAGCCAGCATGGAGGGCGCCTCGCTCACACCTCTCCCTGTCGCCTGGGGGAGCAGCCAGCGTGGCCGGCCACCACCGCCCGCCTCAGAAACGGCTGCCTGAGCTGGCCGCCTGTCTTGGCGGGAGCCTCCCGGGTGACCAGGCAGGCCCGGCGTTGAGGGCAGCGCTGAAGGGCAACGCCTGGCTTCCTTCTGGACGCTCCATAGTCCTCCTCTGAAGCCCCTGTCAGGACCTGCTGTGAGCACCCTCAAGACGGTGGCCCGCTGGCCCCGTCCCCGTCCCGGCGCTAACTTGGCACCCCTGCTCCGGCCCCCGTGGCTCAGCCCGAGCCCCGCACTGGAGGCCTCAACAATATGCCCATGGTCTCAGCAGGTCGAGGACAGCCACGGCTCTATCCTGCCCATGGGCAGTGGCCTTGAGGCCCAGGGCAGCTCCCAGGTTGGCGCCCTCGGCCTCCAGGCACTGGGCATGTCGGGAGCAGATGCCCTCTGCAGGCTCTGGCCGCATGGCTCTGAGTCGTGCCCCTGCGCAGTGCTCCGGGCCCCGAGGGCTCCTTGGAGGCGGTGGCTGCAGTGTGTCTATGGCCCTGAACAAAGCTCTGCTGAGTAGACATGTGGTGGGGCCCCCGGGTGACAGCCTCCCTGGGGCAGCCAGCGCCTGGCCTGCTGGCGGCCGCCCAAGTCCTGGTGCAGGCACGTGGAGCCCACCTTCCGCAGGGCGCCGAGGTGCTGGCAGTGGCAGGGGAGTGGCACTGGGAAGGTTTCTGGGGCTCCTTGCTGGGTCAGGGGCTGGGCTGGGGCCCAGGGGAGCACAGGGGCACCCTGAGACTGGGCCCAGGAGCAGCCCACCCCCGTGAGTCACTGCAGCCGGGTGTAATTTAAACAGAACCAATGTATGCAACACAGATTTTAAATGTCAAAACATTTAAAATTCCATACCTTGCTGAGCACAGGCAGCAAAAATAGCTACCTCTGGGGGCCCGTGGGTCTGCAAGCAGCCGGCCAGGGCCCAGCCCGAGATCCCCAGCTGCTCCCCAGCTGGAGGAAGGCCAGGCCCTTGATCGTGAGCTTCTGGAGTGGGGGAGGAGGCCGCTGCCCTGCAGCTCGCCCTGACCTGAGGCCAGTGCCCAGCCTGGGGACCAGCCATCTCCCCAGGAGGCGGGAATGGCGGGGGGAGAGGCCGCCCCTCCCTGGCACGCAGACACGGCGCCCCGGTGCAGACGGCTGGTCCGAACCAAGCACGGCAGGAAAGCTCTGGAGAAGAGCGCGGGGCCGGTGTGAGGCCCGGGCCGCCGTGCAGAGATGCCAGAAACAGCGTCCGGACGCGGTCGAGGGCCCCGCAGCGGAGGGCGAGGGTGCGGAGGCCGCCTGCGCTTCAGCCTGTCCAGCAGCTACCGCTCCTCGCTGCCTTGGACCCTCCCCCCTGCCCACCTAAGGGCCCAGCCCCTCCCCAGACCTGTGCAGTCGGCGTGTTTCAGAGGACGGGGTGGCCCTCACTGGACACGCGCAGGCCCGTCACGGCTCATCCCCGCACCAGCCCCGCTGGCCGTGCGGGGCGGGGGTATTTGTGGGCAAAGACGCCGCCTCCCCGGGGGCTGGCGGAGCGGGGAGCTGAGTCTGTGGCCATGGGAGGGCCTGCCTCGGGGTGAAGCCAGCACGTGGCAGGACAGCACCGAGGGCGCCCGCTGAGCTCCCGGGTCCAGCGGGGCCTACAGCCCTCGTGCCTAGACCCCGGTTTTTCTTGAGCAAATAAAATATTTGAGCAAAATAAATGTTATTTTGTTCTCCCGAAGATGATTTGAATTATTTCCTGGAACCTGGATCCTAATTCACAGAGGTTTCAACCAATGCAGGTCCAGGGGGAGCGAAGGCTACACAGAAATAAAACCCCAAGACTGGAGGGAGGAGCCACGGAGGCCTGGCTTCACCACGCGGCGCGCCGCCTCGCCGGGGCCAAGTACCCACAGCAGCTCAGGCGCCGCTGTAAAGTCCGCCATAAAATTCAGTGACGGGAAAATCCACTCTTTCAGCCCTGGGGGACATCCCTGCCCCGTCTGCGCTCAGCCTGCCCCTGCAGCTTGGGTCCCGGGCCTCTGCCACTGTCCCTTTAGGGTGGGGTCACGTGGGGACAGAGAGGCGTCAGCAACCCCTGCAACTGGGCCACAGAAAAGGGGCTCAAGAGGCTGGTGTGACAGGAACGATGGAGAACTCCGTGACGTGGCAGAGGCCAGGCCCTGCCCGAGACTGCCCGCCCTGCCTGGGCCCGGGAGGACAGGCCAGAGCCTCTGGAGTGCAGGCTCTGCTCTGGGCAGTGACCGTCTCCATCCAGACCCTCTGTCCCTGACAGAGGCGCCCCAGCCCCCCCAGACCCGAGGGCCACTCTGAGCACAACTAGCGGCCTGCCGGGGAGGCCCACCTGGGTGCCCCCCGCCGCAGCCCTGTCCTGTGTGATGTGACCGAGAGGCTCAGGAAGGGGCAGAGCACAGGCCAGGTGGCCCCTCCAGCCTCCCCAGAGGGGGCGCCGGGCTGTGGCCTTTGACACTGCTGGCCACTGGCCACCAGGGAAGTGCTGGAGGCCCAGCTTCACTTAGAGTGGACACCAGGACCACAAGAGCACAAAGGGGCCCACGATGCCCAGGGAGAAGTTGACTGGGGTGACTCGGCCACGTCGAGGGCCCGGCGATGGTGGGGCTGCTCCCGGAGCAGGAGGCAGCGGGCCGGTCCCTGGGACATGTGAGTCTGCGGCGCGTGTCTGAAGAGGAGAGGCCCTCACTGGAGGCGTAGGGACGGTCTGGAGTGGCCTTGTCCTAGAAGGCGCCAGTGGGTGGCCAGCCTGGGACAATGTGCTGTCCTCAGCCCCAGCCTGCCTCCGCTCGTCCTCCTAACGAGACTGGGACTGTTCGAGACGCTTCCTGGAGGGGTGGGGGAGCTGCCAGTCCTTGGTAACACCACCGGGCCCACAGGCTGCCACTCCTCGGGGGCCGCCTAGGCTGAAGCCCCCTTCATTTCTCTCCTTTCCGTGATCCCCTTCTGCCCGCTGGGTCCCCGAGCTCTGACGGTCTGGAACCTCCGGGAGAGGGAGGCCAGGGCCGGGCCTCAGCCTCGAGGGGCCTCGCTTCAGCACCATGGACAGTGCCCACGCTGCGGTGGGGCCTGCCCAGAGTCGGGAGGGGTGGGCTGTTAGGAACGGACTTCATCCTCCAGACCCTTCCTGCCCTCTACGAGGGCCAGGGAATGGCCTGCGACCTCTGCAGGAGCCGCCGCCTGCCTCCAGCCTGCCCCTCACCCCCATTCCATCCAGTGGGCCCCTGTGGGGTGTCTTCCCCTCCCGGGGGCCTGGAGCTGCAGAGGCCTGGACTTGCTGGAACCTGGCACAGCAGAGGCCCCTCTGCAGCCACACCCCATCTGCTCTGGCCCCAGCCGGGCGGCCAGCTGGTCAGTGCCGAGGCCTCAGCCCAATGAGGGCGATGCCTTCACGACACACCTGCCCTCACCTGGCCAGGCGAGCCCTCCTAGGGGGTGGGACCCCCTGCAAGCACAAGGGGCTGGGGGCCTGGCTTAGCTGATTTGTGTGTGGGGATCATTACTGGCTCTGAGCAGGGCAGCCGGGCAGCCGGGCATGCCAGCCGCTGGGCCAGCAGCCCTGGAGGCCACGCCCAGCCTGCAGGCTGTAGCCACCAGGGCTGAGGCTGCAGCCACCAGGGCTGAGGCTGGGGGCTGTTTGCTGTGTTTTCAAGTGTCCATTGGCTTGGGCCACCTGCCCTGTGGGACCAAGAGCCCCAGATCTTGGCCCTCTGCACCCCCTCTGACATGGAGAACAGTCTCTTCTGGACCAAGGAAGCGCGGCGCCAGGTTGTGGGGGATACTACTCAGCTCTTCGAAAGCTGGAGCAGAGCCTTTGGACAAGATGGCTGGACCTTGAGGGGCTGAGTTTAAGGAGAACAGATGGTGACCGGCAGCATCATCATGGGTGGAACATAAAGCACCAGAGAAAGCAAACTGGCCAGACAGAGGGAAACAACTCAGCCTCTGGGGAAGCACCGGCTCCTGAGGGCAGAGGGACATGGGCACGGGGCTCTGGTGGGGGTGAGGGAGGCACGCACCCACCTGTGGAAGCGTGAAGTTGTCCCCCCAGATTATACAGTTATAGAGACGGTGGGCAGGGGGCCTGGCCACGGTGGGGGCCAGCGCCTGGCCCCACTTGCATGCAGCTGCTTCTCCCTGTCATGGCAGCCGAGTCCCCAGACCCCAGCGTCTCCCTGCCCTGCCCCTGAGCAGCACGTTAGCCGATGTCCTGTCCCCTCCTGATTGCAAGTGGCCGCCCCTGGCGGAGCTGGGCACCGTTCCTGCGGGCAGCTGGCTCTGGACCAGCATCGCGGCTCCTGTCAACAGGGTCAGCGTCTGTGCCGTGGGGGCATCTGGCCCAGCAAGCAGAGTGAGCCCCGCGAGGGAGCAGGGCTGGCGCCACCGGGGGACTTGCCCTACTTGGCCAGCACTCGGCTTTGCCTCCTGCCTGGTCCAGCGGTCTCCCCACCCCCGAGGAAGGCGCACCTGAGCTTCTTCAGCCGGGCCTCCTCCTGGCACGGCCGGGTCGGCGGCCCCAGGCCCACCAGCACCCCGAGCCTGGCCCCCACTCTCAAGGGATGAAATTGATCTGTAAATTATGAGCACTCCACAGTGGGGCAAACAACCGTGGGGTCACCCGCTGGTCTGGGGGACCTGACCCATGTGGTCACTCTCCCGTGAGGAGCGCCGGGGCGGCCTCCTGCCCCTCACGGCCCTCACAGTGCCGCTCCCCCGGCCAGCAGGCCCTCAGGCCCAGGCGCTACGGGCGGGGCCCCTGGTGCTGGGGGAGCTGGCCTGGCCCCCAGGTCCACCTGCCGCCGGGGCGTCGGAACTGAGGCTGCTCCGCGCTGGGTAATCAGCACCCCGGGCTTCCGCCACGGAGACGGCAGGTT